GAGTGCCAAACATTACTTTCTGTCGCTCGTTTACTCTTGCTTCTGCATTCTTGCTTCTAACTTCTTGTTTCGTGCTTCTTTCGCTTGCTACGTTCGCTGAGACTGCCCCTCCTTTCTCGCTTCCTTTTTTGGGCTTCTTACTCTGCACCTGGCTTCCCTTTCTGTCCCCCCCTCGCTTGCCCCTCACTTGCACTGCACAGGACAAGTTCTGCGGCTCCAAACCTTGACTTTACCTGCGTTTCTGCACTGCCAACTGCCACCCTGCTCGTGTCCTCCTGGAGCCGGCTTTCGTTCTGCACCGCTTCGGTCTAAGCTGGAGTCCAAGGACCGTGTCGCAGGGCTAAAACACCATGGCAGTGAAGGACGGATTAGGCCCGCGGCCCGTATCCCAGACTGCCAAACGTCACTTTCTGAACCGACTAGAAACTAGCTCCAAACCTTGACTTTTCCTGCGTTTCTGCACTGCCAACTGCCACCCTGCTCGTGTCCTCCTGGAGCCGGCTTTCGTTCTGCACCGCTTCGGTCCAAGCTGGAGTCCAAGGACCGTGTCGCAGGGCTAAAACACCATGGCAGTGAAGGACGGATTGGGCCCGCGGCCCGTATCCCAGACTGCCAAACGTCACTTTCTGAACCGACTAGAAACTAGCTCCAAACCTTGACTTTTCCTGCGTTTCTGCACTGCCAACTGCCACCCTGCTCGTGTCCTCCTGGAGCCGGCTTTCGTTCTGCACCGCTTCGGTCCAAGCTGGAGTCCAAGGACCGTGTCGCAGGGCTAAAACACCATGGCAGTGAAGGACGGATTGGGCCCGCAGCCGGCAGCCCACGGTGCCTAACGTTGCTTTCTGAACTGCCTAGAAACTAGCTTCAAACCTTGCTTTTCCCTGCCTTCCTGCACTGCCAACTGCCAATTTGCCTGCGTCGTCTTGCAGCTCAAACCTAGCTTTTCCCTGCGTTCCTGCACTGCCAACTGCCAACTTGCCTGCATTGTGTGACAGCTGGCTTTCGTGCGGCACAGCTCCGGTCAAGGGACCTCCTCGCAGGGCTAAAACACCATGGCAGTGAAGGACGGATTGGGCCCGCGGCCCGTATCCTAGACTGCCAAACGTCACTTTCTGAACCGACTAGAAACTAGCTCCAAACCTTGACTTTTCCTGCGTTTCTGCACTGCCAACTGCCACCCTGCTCGTGTCCTCCTGGAGCCGGCTTTTGTTCTGCGGCCTCCAGAGTCCAAACCTTGACTTTCCTGCGTTTCTGCACTGCCAACTGCCACCCTGCTCGTGTCCTCCTGGAGCCGGCTTTCGTTCTGCACCGCTTCGGTCCAAGCTGGAGTCCAAGGACCGTGTCGCAGGGCTAAAACACCATGGCAGTGAAGGACGGATTGGGCCCGCGGCCCGTATCCCAGACTGCCAAACGTCACTTTCTGAACCGACTAGAAACTAGCTCCAAACCTTGACTTTTCCTGCGTTTCTGCACTGCCAACTGCCACCCTGCTCGTGTCCTCCTGGAGCCGGCTTTCGTTCTGCACCGCTTCGGTCCAAGCTGGAGTCCAAGGACCGTGTCGCAGGGCTAAAACATGCGTCCTACCTTAGGAAATTATTTTGAGGTGGGGGTTGGTTCCAAAATAATTTTTTAAAAATAATTTCCAATTTTTAACATAAATTTTATGTTAAAATCACCCGACAAGAGCCATAGCAAAATAATTTTTGCACCCGTACCTTGATGATGGTGCAAAATAATTTTCCACCTACAGAGGTTGAAGCACCTTGAAAAAATTTTAAACAAACAACTTAAGGCACCTCAAAATAATTTCTCAGTTGAACTGGGGAAATTATTTCATATAGTTCCAACTGTATAAAATAATTACCAGACACCCATGATGAAAATTATTTCATGGGGTGGGGGTACTTGCAAACCACCTGCAAAATAATTTCAACATATTACATCAAATTTCAACTACATATTTCAACATGTTCAGTCAGGATATTCTTTGAATCAATCTGCAGCCATTTCCAACTTCATTCAAGCCACATCCCGTCAATCCCAACACATCCCAGGGAAGTTGAGTTTTGCAAGGTTAGGTTTTTTTGGATTTCTGGGGTGGTCTAGTAGTTAACCACCCCGAAAATAATTTTTGGGGAGAGAGGAATCGATTCAGGTTTCTTTGCCCAAAAGCCGATGCTAAGTCGATGTTCTAAAAAATAATTAGTTCAGCCAGTAATTCATGGTAAATCTCAGGGTTTGTCTGTTCGAGGCAATTTGGATTTTGAACTACTCAATGGGAAGTTAATTTTGCCAGTTTAGGCTATTATTATTTCTGGGGTGGTTTAGTAGTTAACCACCCCCAAAATAATTTATGGGGTAGGAAGGGGTCGATTCAGATTTCTTTGTCCAAAAATCGATGGTCTAAATCATAGGTGGTTTAGTAGTTAACCACCCCCAAAATAATTAGGTTCTCATGGTTTGATTCTTTCAGACAGTTTGGGTCAATTTGGATCAGGTTTGGCATTTTTGACCTATTCCAGGGAAGTTGAGTTTTGCAAGGTTAGGTTATTTTGGATTTCTGGGGTGGTCTAGTAGTTAACCACCCCCAAAATAATTTTTGGGGAGAGAGGAATCGATTCAGGTTTCTTTGCCCAAAAGCCGATGCTAAGTCGATGTTCTAAAAAATAATTAGTTCAGCAAGTAATTCATGGTAAATCTCAGGGTTTGTCTGTTCGAGGCAATTTGGATTTTGAACTACTCAATGGGAAGTTAATTTTGCCAGTTTAGGCTATTATTATTTCTGGGGTGGTTTAGTAGTTAACCACCCCCAAAATAATTTATGGGGTAGGAAGGGGTCGATTCAGATTTCTTTGTCCAAAAATCGATGGTCTAAATCATGAAATTCCGACAATGCTTGTCGGGTGCATTCGGGAGGATAGGTAGGGTGACCCCCCAAAATAATTTTGCGGGGATTTTGTCTAATTATTTTGAGGTGGTTCTACTTGTTTTTTCAATCATCCAAAACCATCTTAAACCACCTTGAAATAATTTCCAAAATTATTTTGAACTAAGGGAAGTGTTTTTGAGTAATAGTAGAACCCTACAAAATAATTTATTTGCAAATTTTCAGAAATTATTTTGAGGAGGTGGGTAGTGATAAAGGATATTATTTTGGGGTGGTTAGAGTGTTTTGGAAAAAACTATTTTGTAGTGGGTTATGTACTAGAAGCACCTCAGAATAAATCCCAGAAATTATTTTGGGGGGTCACCCTAGTGATTTTACCCAGGGTAGCCTGCATGCTAAAACACCATGGCAGTGAAGGACGGATTGGGCCCGCAGCCGGCAGCCCACGGTGCCTAACGTTGCTTTCTGAACTGCCTAGAAGCTAGCTTCAAACCTTGCTTTTCCCTGCCTTCCTGCACTGCCAACTGCCAATTTGCCTGCGTCGTCTTGCCGCTCAAACCTAGCTTTTCCCTGCGTTCCTCCACTGCCAACTGCCAACTTGCCTGCATTGTGTGACAGCTGGCTTTCGTGCGGCACAGCTCCGGTCAAGGGACCTCCTCGCAGGGCTAAAACACCATGGCAGTGAAGGACGGATTGGGCCCGCGGCCCGTAGCCCAGAGTGCCAAACGTCACTTTCTGAACCGACTAGAAACTAGCTCCAAACCTTGACTTTTCCTGCGTTTCTGCACTGCCAACTGCCACCCTGCTCGTGTCCTCCTGGAGCCGGCTTTTGTTCTGCGGCTCCAGAGTCCAAACCTTGACTTTTCCTGCGTTTCTGCACTGCCAACTGCCACCCTGCTCGTGTCCTCCTGGAGCCGGCTTTCGTTCTGCACCGCTTCGGTCCAAGCTGGAGTCCAAGGACCGTGTCGCAGGGCTAAAACACCATGGCAGTGAAGGACGGATTGGGCCCGCGGCCCGTATCCCAGACTGCCAAACGTCACTTTCTGAACCGACTAGAACTAGCTCCAAACCTTGACTTTTCCTGCGTTTCTGCACTGCCAACTGCCACCCTGCTCGTGTCCTCCTGGAGCCGGCTTTCGTTCTGCACCGCTTCGGTCCAAGCTGGAGTCCAAGGACCGTGTCGCAGGGCTAAAACACCATGGCAGTGAAGGACGGATTGGGCCCGCAGCCGGCAGCCCACGGTGCCTAACGTTGCTTTCTGAACTGCCTAGAAACTAGCTTCAAACCTTGCTTTTCCCTGCCTTCCTGCACTGCCAACTGCCAATTTGCCTGCGTCGTCTTGCAGCTCAAACCTAGCTTTTCCCTGCGTTCCTGCACTGCCAACTGCCAACTTGCCTGCATTGTGTGACAGCTGGCTTTCGTGCGGCACAGCTCCGGTCAAGGGACCTCCTCGCAGGGCTAAAACACCATGGCAGTGAAGGACGGATTGGGCCCGCGGCCCGTAGCCCAGAGTGCCAAACATTACTTTCTGTCGCTCGTTTACTCTTGCTTCTGCATTCTTGCTTCTAACTTCTTGTTTCGTGCTTCTTTCGCTTGCTACGTTCGCTGAGACTGCCCCTCCTTTCTCGCTTCCTTTTTTGGGCTTCTTACTCTGCACCTGGCTTCCCTTTCTGTCCCCCCCTCGCTTGCCCCTCACTTGCACTGCACAACACTTGTTGCTTGTAATCTCTTCTCTGACGCGCTCCCCCTGCTGTCGGCAGGGGTCGGCGGATTAGCCTCTTGTGGTCTCCAAAACTTGGGTTGCAGCAATCAGCAACGTGCCCTTTTTGAGCAACAGATGTTCTTTGCAATGCCACATAATGCCACCAATCCTTCGATACAGCAAGCTGCTTGCTTTCAGACATTTTCAGACTATCAAAGCGCTTCTTTATGGATGTTCTATCTCTCAGTCTCATCCCGCGCGAAAAACATGCTAACCCAACATTGTATAGTCTTGCAGCAAAAATAGCCATGTATAGCCATGTAGTCATTTTCAGATATTTGAAGTTACGGGAGCACCATTTGGTATTTGAAGTTCCTCCATCACTCTGTATCACTTGACCCGCACGGCCAGTTGCTTGGACTCGCGATCCGGCCGAGGAATCACAGTTCGGGCCTCACAGAGACAGCCGAGGAATTCTCACGATGTCGGCTTCGGAGTGGACTGCTTGAAATTGATGATATTGATGAAGATGCACATGGATGACAGGTGTTATGGAATATGTAGAATATTAATGAATATTATGGAGTTCAGAGGCTTTTGCTTTTTCTCGATACTTTCCTGACTTCAAAGGCTGTCTCATGATGCACATCGTTGGTTTAGCACTGCCCCGAGTCGCTGACTGGTGGCTTCCGGTTCTTCCATGGATTCCAGATGAGTTAGACTGAGTTAGATCAGGCAAAACGTCAAGAAATGTGCCGGCTGATCGGCTGATTATGAATTTGGCTGTGAGAAGATCCAAAAAAAGGTTGGCGGGGTGTTCCCTCGACTCGTACTTGCTCAGCATGACTGAGAACAGCATCCATGACGTATTTCTGAGTAGAAAAGGACACTGGTACCTTGTTGCACTCAGGCTGGCGACAACAACGCTTCTTAGCAGTTTTGGTCGTCCTCAGCTGCTTGACGGTAGGAGTCACTTATCTCATTGCCTCAGGCGGGACATGACACTGGATGTCCGTGGTGGCCGTCCATGGCCATAGCGGCCATAGCGGCCAGCGATCTGCCATGACCTGCGAGGCATCCAAATGATGCTCCAAGCGCGTCGTCTTCGGCGAGCCATCAAGTACCAAGTCTTGGAGCATTGGGTATGATTTCTGTTGGCACTTCTAAGATACATATATCATATTATATTATATTATATTATATTATTATTATTATTATTAAAATTATATTATTATTATTATTATACGTATTATTATATAATAAATTATAATAAATCACATATTAACATATATATATATATATACATATATACACGTAAAATATACACGAGATAAGGATAGATAAATATGTAGATAAAGCATCTTAATAAGGCACCATAAAGCATCATCAAGCAGCATAAAGCAGTATAAAGCAAACAATGCAAACATTGGCAATAGGTGCAAGCTATCAAACATATGGGTGAACGGTGCAAACTGTGCAAAATCACGAAACAAGTGCAAACTGTGCAAACGTACACTTCGCAAACCTTGCAAAAGCTTAGAACAACTGCTGCAAGTGCAAGATGAGGAACAAGTCCCAAAAAAGGAAAGATAATGAAAGAGAGCAAATGCGAAAAGTGCATTGGAATTACACACGGAACTTTTGGTACCACAGAAATGCGCAAGTTTCGCATTGTCGTTTCTGCGGACGCAGTGTGACAAGTGTCATCCAAGGAATCAGCTTCTTTCCCAGAATCAGATCCTATCTGTCCAGGTGGGACACTGACACAAAGTGTGTCAGACGAGCCGTTGGATGCTGCCTATTCAAAGACGGGGACAGTCAAGGAAAAATGTTAAACAGGGATGTCATGCATTTTCAATTGAACAATGGTTGAGTGATGGGTACTGCCTGTACGGGCTATGGGCTATGGCTATGGGCTAATATGGGCTATTTGCCATGGATGCGGAGGAAGACAGATGAGAATTAGGATGAGGAGGGTGAGGTGATTAATGAGGATCTTTATCAATCGCCTAGTAGAACAGAGTGGCAGTCTCTTTGACGTTTGCTCTGCAGGCTGTTTTGGAAGCCCGCCAAGAACTTCTAAGGAGCCACTTTGTGGGCACAGACTCAGAATAGTACTGTGTATACTGCATATGATATCATACAATATGTACAGTATACATAATGCGAAGATGTACATATTTAGTAGTAGAGATCGTCGTAGACTCTGTGTATATATATATATATGTATATATATATATATTTCGTGGGGGTGTGCGGATATGCAATGCATGTTGGCATGGGAATGTGGCTCAACTTTTCAGGAGCTTGGTGGACCTGTCACGTCACAGAAAAGATGACCTGGAGGATTGTGAAGAGAAGGCCATCGTGGTGGAAATGATGGATGGATCAGGAATGCTCAGGAAATTCAGTATCTCAAGGGGCTTTTAGGACGGTGATGTCGGTTCGTTTCTTCAAAGGTGCTCGCTGCTTTCTTCAACGAGCTCATGGAGAGGACTGAAATGTGGAAAGTCTTGACCGTGTTGACTCAGTGTTGACCCCAAAGAAATGCCATGCTTTGGACAGTTTCTTGAAGGGCCCATAAATCGGCCCCGGAAGTTTCTGCAGGATTTGGGATTCCGTGAAGTCTGGTGTGCTTGATGAGGAGGCCAAGCTGCCAAGCTGAACGATTTTGTTTAGGAACATGGAACACTCCGCAGTCATTGCAGTCGTTAATGGAGGCTTTATTCAATGGGCTCAGCCAACAAGTTGCCACCAGTGTCTAGGTTCAGGTGGTCCTTGAGACAGCATTGGAAAGCGCGGCAGCCCAGAGGGCACCAGCAGAGATTTTTTTGACAAAAAAGAAGTTGATTGTCGGGAAGGATTCTGAATTCAGTTTCCGTAGGTCAATTCTAGCATTGGCGAACAAGCCCAATCTTGCTTGGGCTCATCCTGGTCTCTTAGTATCTAAAGTGAATGGGGTGAAAACTAAATCAGTCTGATTTCCCCACCGTATCAGGGACACCTTGCGACTTTAGGCAACGAGGAGTGTGCCTCCGTCAGTGAACGCAGGCAGCTGTGCCTAGCCGGGCACTCAAAATGTCACGGCTGTTGGCGGGGCTCATGGCAGAATCATTCAAAGTGGCTGTTAGAAAATGAGAATAACACAACATATGGAGAACTAGTCCTGTGACTGTACCCTTGACAGCAAGTAGACTGGATGGCCACCTTTGGAACTCTTTCAATGCATACGTGGATAGTTGAACCCACCTACCCTCAGCAGACCGGTATTTGTGCTTGGCAAATAAGGACCTGCTAGCCTCTGTGATGCAACATGCAACACCAGGGATGCAGGCAGTGGGCTCTGAGATAGCCTTGTGACACAGTCTTCAAGCTTTGAGAAGCCTCTGAATTCAGTTTTGGAGCTGGACATTTTTTGACAGTTGGGCTTTTACAGACCTAGCGACCCTTCAACTTCGTTTGGTGCAGGGCAAGCTACTGACTGGTGTAGCGAACGGATTGCAAAAGCAGATCAGATGCTAGGCGGAAGCATAGAGTTTGCCAGCACTGAGAGTGCTGCTTTGCATGCTTTTGGTGACATGTATTCAATGTATTCTCACAACCCTGGAGGCGTTGTGAATTTTGCTATCATGCTACATGGGTGGGGTGGGGTGGGGTGGGGCATTAACGTTCACGTTTACTTGCGCACATAGGATAAGCTACATTATGATATCTTCTCTTGAAGCACGAGCACACACATTTGATGCTACGCTATGAAATCTTCTCTCGCACTTGTGCACACACCGGATGCTACGTTGTAATATCTTCTCTTGCACTTGCACACACACACACACTTGCTGCTACGTTGTGAGATCTTTTCTTGCACTTTCTAACGTTCTGAATGCTACGTTGTAAGATCTTCTCTTGCACTTGCACACACGCACACACGTCATACTAAGAATGCTGGTACACAGCAAATTGATCGCTGTTTGAACTCAATTGAAAAAAACAGTCCCAGTCAGATGAAGAACCGCACCGGACCTTGCCTGAATGGCAGATTCTGGGACAGAATCTGCCAAAGGAGACACAATTCAGCAAAGTGACAATTACGCGACAACATGAAAAAGGACGGAAAACAGGTCCAAACACATCATTCAGAAACTGGCAAAGCGTGAGCGTTTTTGCACATTGAATTTAAAAACGCAAGGTTGCGACGGTCCGTGTTACCATGTCTTTGGCACCATTACTCTTTTGTACTAATGGGCCTAGATAAGTCTGCTTTGCTTTTTTTTAACCAACAAAATCTGCAAGAATCTCACCTTGCAAGCTCATTCAGCCAATGTTGGCATTGTCCAAAATGTATCCTGGCACTATCCAAGGAGCGCTTGTGAAGCAAGGGTTGCTAGCAAGAAAGGCCCTTCTGGACGCAGCAGCTGCCCAGGATACAGATGGTGCTTCCGCCGATTTTTGGCTAGAAACAATCGCGACACTGGATCCCAGAAATGCAAAGAAAAAGGTTGGACGGTTGGAAATCAGATTCATTCAGATTTTGTCAAATGATTTTGCTGCACCTGCCATTTTCAGTCCTTGTGGGCTTTGCAATTTTTGCCAGGTATGCTAAATCAACGCCTCGGATTCTTGCTCAGAGAAGAGGCAGGGTTTTGTCCGAGGACTTGAGCCTGGCTCCAAAACTCAAGACCAATTGGTCGTCAAGATGGACCAGTTATCCTGAGATGAGGCCTCCCCACTTTTGAACACTGAGATAAAACATGATAAAGTCTTTTTGACCTGTAGGCCAGTCTGGGTCTTGGAAATGTAAATGTAAATTTGATTTCCGTGGAAGATGTCAACACGATGACCGCCGCAATGCCAGGCATCATGCACTTCTGGACAAGGCTTTGGGCAGTTACTAGTTGGTTCAAAAACACGTGGAAGCTAAAGGCCTCTTCCAAGTTGCGGTGGCATCGTGGCATATTTGAAACATTCTGAAACAGACATTTGAATCGTTTGAATCGTTGGATTTTTTTAATGGAACTTTCAGGCTGTAGCTTTTTCAGCTTCTGAAGTGACCGTGTGACCCGTGCCCGAACCCGTGCCCTGCGCTTAGCCGCTTAGCCGCTTAGCCTCGCCCAACGTTGGCACCCTGGCCGCCTTGGCCGCCTTGGCCGCCTTGGCCGCCTTGGCCAAGGACGAGACAAGGCGATGCGGAGCGGAGCCCTTGTGACCTTGGCCCCGGTATTTGATCCAAGTATAGAATAGAATGGTAAAGTAACAGAAAAATATGTATTAAGTCTTTTTAGATTATATAATTATTTATTGTTATTATTGTGATTTATTATATATATTGTTCTCATTATTCTTCAAATATCTCTTAAAGTTTCTGAAGAGTGAAAGTCTGCTTGTCATGGGGTCTGCGCAAAAAGTTCCGTTGATCTTCCAATCGGGGCCGGGCGGCTGGGACCAACCGCAGCAAAAGATCGGCAGAACGGCGCCTGCTACGCCTGGCTTCACATGCTGCAGCTGGTAATGGTGACCTCTTTACAGGGTGGGTAGATGGTGGGATGATGGTGGGTATAACTATAACCATCAGACACGGTGGGTATATAACTCTCAGACATGATGTGTATAACCATCCAGCAATGGTAGTTTTTACCATCCCATGTGGAGATTCATGCTGACATTCGGCCGATTGCAGCTTCAAGATAGAGACATGAGATTGGAGGCGTTGGAATTTGGATTTTGATTCCTCAAATATGCGAATATCAGAAGTAGATGGTGAAGAAGCTGATTTTCATGTCAGATTGTATCCCTCATGAAGACAGGATGCACTGAACTGACAGTTTGCAGTTCTAAGTTCTAAGACATACAGTTGGATCCAAAGAACTTGGCAGCAAGTTCAAATTCAAGCAGCTCAAGCATATTCCATCATATTCCCAAGGATCCAAAGGGACCGTGTCTCCTTGAACTTATCACAGCAATATTTGTGCTGCTGTCTTCCAATTGCCATGCCGCAGCGCAAGGTCGAAGACTTGGATTTTGAAACTGCAGAACCCACTCGCAGTCACTAGATGTCACTAGCAGACCTTGGTGGGCATGGCAATGCGTGGCCGCATGGCAATGCGGCAATGCAACCATAGTCGTTGCTTTGTCGTTGCTTTGTCTCCAAATCTGGAAACCAAATCACTGGACCAAGACTTCTTTCAGCCATATGGACGTAAGACACGTGGACGCAACACATCTCAGGCACTATTGGAGCTTGCCCGTCCAAGCCTGAGTGGAACTCATTGTGAGAAGTCATCGCGGAAACCTGGGAGATTCAGCAGGAAAGCAGTCTTTGAAGTCTTTGTGCTTTCAGATGTTCAACAGTAGAATTAGGGCATCCACTTTTTTGTTAGTTTATGATGTTAGTTTTAAAATTCTGACGCATCAAATGGATTCCCATGACAACCAAATGGATGCCATGACAACCAACAGCTTTTCAGTGACAGTGCAGCGACCCCGCCACCTGAGGCGATCGCTTAGAGAATTTCTATGCCAATAAAGGAAACCTGGAAGACCCAAAGGCTGCCATGTCGCCATGTCACCTAGCCACGTCTTATCCACCTTGTCCGACTTGGCAGTTGCTGACAGGAAGCTGATGGCATCGTGTTCCGCCTCTCCAAGGACAGACTTTGATCATTTTGATAAGTTCCCTGGAGTTTCACCATGTTTTACCCACTCAGTCTGAACATGTCTGAACATGTTTGCCAAACCTTGCAGGCAGACAAGAGCTGCGCGGGTGACATGGTGCCTTTGACCTTTCTCGAGCAGCACTCTTAGCCCAGAGTAGGCGTTAGCCATCGTGAACCTTTCAAAGAAATGAAGATATACAGGTACTGTATATGGAGGCATACAACAGGAGTCCGCCAATCTGAGAATCGGCAGGTACACATGTTTCGGGTTCTTCAAGTATCGCTTTTCGCTGCTGTTGGTTCATGCCACCTTGACCCTTGACCAGTGAGGAACTCTACTCGCCAGAAGGGGATTGATGTGCTCAATTCCAAGGTTCGACGTGCCAAATGCCCGACCCGTTGACGTGTTCAACGTCATCATGGCTGCTGAGTGTGGACTCCCAGATTGTGAACAGGTGGATCTTCAAGCCGGTGAAAAAATACAGAGTTTTGTACTGGTGTACCCAGTTTACTCCCATCCCCGAATATTAAACACCCCCTAGATGGTTCCAAATATGTCTAAATCCCCTATTAAACCATGGTTTCTGAGGGGTGTTTAATATTAGCGGATTGGATTATTCAGAAAAGATCAAAAGGCTTCAATTTCTCAGCAGGTTCCTCATGGAATGCAGCAGACATACAGTATCAACATGTTTCTTTGCCACGAAACTGCGTTTCAGCCGCAAGTTGTGGGTGGCTGAGGAACGAGACGCAGTGGGACAAGGCTCCAAGTGAGATGCGCGTGCAGGATGCCTAGACTAAGATGGAAGGATCGTCGCGGGAGAATGCTTTGATTCGTGCCCAATGTTCAGCAGGATCTCAGTGATCTCACATTCTGCAGAGCCTTTTCCATGGACCTACATGGTGACATATGGTGACCAAGGATTGGTGAGTGGAAGAGATATCAGGTCCAGTTGGGCTCGCCTGGGCTTTGACAAATGGTACTCCAACTGGTTGCCGCGATTTAGCAACAACATAAACATTTGTGAACTCTTTGCAGTCTCTAGCATGGTTATTACCCTTTCACTGGTGCTTGAGCACGCAGGCCAGAGGTGTGGTTGGATTCTTCGATGCCAAACCTCTCAGCTCGCGAGAGATCCACGAATGGCAGGCACGCCATCCTCTCAGGGAGATGGTGCCTCCATGTGCTGTGACATGTTTTGACGCTTCATTGCTTGACAAGCCAAGTCAATGGCATGCAAGCCAAGTCGTTTATGGAGCACGGACAATAGCTAAAGGACGGTGATTCGATAGTGGCCGCTAGCCGATGTTTGTCGAACTTGTATGAACTCAACAGGTGACTGATCCCTGTGCCATATTTCAGATACTGCTCCATGGTTGATGACAACAGAAAAAGACGTGGAAAAAAATGCATCAGGACGAAAACAACAATAATGAGGATGCCTCTACAATTTGTACAATTTGTTGTTTCTTCACCTGTTTGATCGGAGCATAATGGCCTTTTGCATTCCAGTTTCCGGGCAACATGTGTTTTTTGCCTGAAAGGTTGCCAGCGCCAACTTCACATCGGAGGAGCTGAGGGCCTAGGGCCTAGGGTTGATGTTTTGACACCCAAATGGTGCAGAGTCCGGTCCGGTGCTCCAGGAGTTTTGGGTGGTGTACTCCACCTTGGAGAACGATCAACTCAGGTTGGAATCGATCTCTGCTTTCTGTACAGTCTACAGATATATCCTGTCATCGGCCGCACGAACCAGGAACAAAGAGCCCCTGCGTGCCGGCGCGACGGAGATGCAGAACTGTACCTCACCTGGAGCAAAGGATTGGAACACAGAGATCTCAGAGATACGCACATGGTTTTGGGTTGATGAGATAGAAGTCACTGTTCGCAGATTGAACCGCACTTGAGTTGGATTAGACAAAGCATCTGATTCTGACTTCGAATTTAGCAGGATATGCAGATATGCAGGTTCCCGCAGATATGCAGGTTCCCGCAGCAGTGTCCCCGTATGTTCTTTCATGTTTTTGAGTGATCACAATTCAGTGCCAAATGATGTGGCAAAATAGTCTTGTGTTGAGATTGTTTGAGTATACTTAGGCCTTTGTGCATATCGCATCACCCCGAAGGCGCAGTGTGTGGGTAGATTAGTTTGGGTGTCTTCGCGCTCACTTAGTTTCGCAAAGATTTCAAGCTATCCGAATGTATTTGATCTGTTCTAATACACGACTTCAACACATGGTCCATGGTCCATTTCTCTTGCGCCCTGGCAGGCGGGTGGAGGTGTGCACGTCTTGAACACGCAGCAGATCAACGAGCATCCCTGGCCTTTGAATGCTCGAGCGCCTTGGCAACGAAGGCTATGCGGCTATGGGGGTTATGGACTACCCGTGACTACCCCTTCTTTAGTGTGGCTAGCTGGGAATTCCGAACTTTTAATTGGAAAATATGGGTTATATATATATATAGTTATCATAAGTTATAATCATCTACACATGGGTGACATTTTTCTACTGCTGCAATCACTGTGTACAATGAAGTCATCTTGGAGCGAAGTGCATCTGAGTCACGAGTTATATCATCCCATCATATCCATTCACAGCAGACCCGTTAGTCACATCAGATTTGTCTCAAAATAGGGTACCCGAAATCTGCTGCAAAAAATCATCATTTTCCTCTAAAAATAGCCATTTGGGGGGTATACTCTCTTATCAGACACACCCAAATACAGTTGGTTATTTATTTCTTATCCATCTTTATCCCAGAATTCGAGGTATTAGTTGGTTGGCTAGTGCTCCCCACAAGGCTTAAATCCCACTCTCATATATCCCATGTAGACATATATATATATAATTGTATAATGTATACATATATATACACACACATATAATCACATATATATATACATATGGCCCCAACATCATTAGGTCCCTATCACCCGGGATTTCCTCCACGGTCCCAGTCGGTGGCCAACCTGGGATGGCAAACCTCTGCGGCCTTTGGCTCGCACCTGCGGGCGGCCAGCGAAGCGCAGGAGCGGTGAGTAGGTCATTAGTGTTCAATAACCATGATAATAATATATAAGAACTGGTCATTTATGTTATGTTATGTTATGTTATATAAGATAGTGTACCCAAACAAATCCATAACATACCGGTTACGGGTGTCCAATTTTTTGGATGTCCAAATCGTCGTTGTCCAATGGTTGTTCAATGGCCCTGTGTTCCGAGACCATGAACCCCAGGAGAAGAAAGGTTGGGCAGCCAACAAGACTGTGGCGCCGGCCTGGAGCTCAATTGAGGATGCGGTGTGGGATGAATTTGTGTTCTCTCCTCTGCTCCTCTTCAACTACCGAAAACATCCGAAAACTCAGTGCTTGTTTCAGGTTGTTTGGTGGATGGTTTCCATGGTTTGGTGGAGGGGTTTTTCCACCAGTTGGGTCTTGCGACTCAGGCTTGGATGCTGAAAGATGGGGACTGCGCCAGGAGCCCCCAGGATCAGTTCATGTGTGGCTGCACTGCTGAGTTAGGGATGTTTTTTGCAACAGTTGTTAAGTCCTCGTAAAGAACCTGGAAACATTTGGAATGTCGGTTTGTGTCTATGGTTTGCATGAATGCAAATCAAGTCAAACATTATGGAAGATCATTGAATTGGAATATTAATGCAGCATCATGGAAGATCATGGACAAGGTCCAAAGATGTCCAAAGTCTTGTCCTTGGATCCTGCCCAGGCCCTGGAGAGGCCGGACGAAAGCCTGAGGGAGTCGCTCTTGAGCAAAGCATACGGAAGTGTCTCCGCCAAATTTACAAAGCGCATTGGCATGCATTGGCTATGCGCCACACAGCCGCACATTTCCATAGCATGGCTTTTGAGGTTCGGGTCTGACACGGAGTCTTACCTCTGCTCCCTATCATTTCCAGTCTGAAATCATGCCAAGCATGACATTTGTTCGAGAATGAACAAGTTCTGGCAAAGAGTAGCCGTGCTGGGCACATCCTTTGCCAGGTTTCAATGGCCAGGAACTTGGCTGGGGATGGCCCAGTAAGCCTTACAACATCTTCACATTGATAAACCCAGATCCAACAAGCAACAATCTGTCGTGAGAAGGGATTCTGTGATGCTAGCTGCGTGTTAACAAGGGTATAAACTGGCTAGAATATGCTATCATGAAATCATACATTATTATGATAACCCGGCAGGTAGTGACCGAGTCTTCATCCCGCGAAAGATACAATACATGGAATGATGTGGAGGTGTAGAAAATTCCGCGAAAGTAAGATATCTGGCAAAGAATGGCCGTCGGACTCGAGAATTTAGATGAATCATGATGAATCAACATATCATTCCACATATCATTCCGATCATGTTTGGGATCCATCCCGATACCTTTTGCTTAGCTGAGGCTCTTGGGAGGAGCCGCCCAAGACAGTTGAGAAACTTGCTGACGGCAAGGCGTGACCGCGTGACCCTCACCACGAGATGACGATGGTCACTGATGGCCTTTGAATAGGCATCTCATTTTGTGTGGTCAGGCTGATGTGCAGTGCATAATTAAGGTCATATTTGGTTCTAGTTTGAGGATTTTGACACAGACAGTGACTTCAGGAATGAACATTCTACATGCATTCTAGATTCTAGCAAATTCATGCAACTTCGACCTAAGAACATTGTTGACATCGGTTGACATCGCATATTGTCGCAGGGTCCCGATCCGATCGATCCGATCGATCCGATCGATCCACCTATCTGTTTGCATTTGGTGTCCCCGTCCCCACCAGGAGATGAAGGTTTGGCAGCTCACGGCAGAGTGCGGTGGCGCGGAGGCTTGACGCGCTCTGGAGACACGTGGATGGGATTGCCACCGGATGTTGCTACAGAGGCGACACGTTATATCATGTTATATATTTTATTTTGGGTCGCAAAGTCGCAAACCCTTTTTTTTCGGATGTTTTACCACAGCTGCCAAGCATCCAGTTCAAAAAACGAGTCGAAAATCTCTGATTCCGGAGCAATGTTGCTATCCTAGTGTCCCGTGACCTCGTGTTTAGACCTTTGTTTAAACCTTCGGATTTCCCAGCCTCGGGCCACGAGTGCCTGTCAGGCGCCACTCTTCCATGCGGAGTTCTCGGTGGATGCTGGGCCACAAGAGGCCCCAACGGGTCGCTGGGTGGCTTTGATAATTTGAACATAACAAAGTCCTCGGTTGCAGCGACCATTCCGTGGGTTTGGTTTCAAAAAAGATGGGGACGTCTTGGACACGATGCCAAAGTCCGGCTTGCACCTCTTCATTGCTTCCAGGAATTCCAGCATTGAGCAACGAAAGCTCACCCATTGAGCGCAGGTGTTCAATGCTATTGCTGCAAAGCGACGAGAGGCGATTGTGAAGATTGTGGAAGTGCAATTGCTTCGAACATCTTCGAACCACGAAGAAACGACATTGTTGGCTTCCTCTCCTTTCCCGTGACCAGAGTTGCAATTGAAATTGGTGTGTCTGGGATTCTCCTGGGTTTACACTAACCTGTTCTTGAGTTATGGATGAAAGCGCGTTCTTTGTTGAACGCATTGCGCTTTGCCATCTTTGCCAAAGCAATCACCATCCGGTGCCATCCAAACGTACCAGAGGCGCAGTGGAATCCTCGGCTGCAGCAGCTGAACATCAGTGGCTTCTCCGATCCTGGTGTCCGCAGTGTCCACGAGGTCAGGGGTGCGAAGGGAAGTGGCATTCAAATATATTCAAATGCAAATCATAAAGAGAGGTACAAGTTTTGCCCCAGTCCATTACATATATTACATAAGAGGGGATCAATGAGGCCCCAGTCCATCATCTTTGCGCTATTTTTCGTGAGTTCCTTGGCACCGAGACTGACCGATGCACCGCAGGAGTTTTCAATGCCAAGCGTTATGGGCTTGAAGCTCTCACCGCGAGAGATGTTCGAATTCCAGGCGCTTGTTTGTGGGCAAGTCGTCGGGCGACCAGGTCTGCAATGGTGTGCAGGGTGTGACACAAAATCTCTTCAAGCAATATAAATCTTTGTAAACCCATGTGAATCCCACTATATTATATAAATTATATGTATGTAATATATATATATATATCTATTGTATAACACATATATATATATGTATAATATATAATATAACATACCATAATATAATATAATATTATATTATATTATATTATGTTATATAATTATAATATAATATAATATATATATATAATATATATATGTATATAACATATATCCATTACAACCCCATTATTCCTTCATTAGATTACTTCATATTACTTCCCCATGATACCGGGCCGATTATATCCCGATTATGGGTGGCTTTATGCCTGAGAACCCCAAAGCCCCGAGAGTCTGCAGGCAGCGGAGCGCAATTCGAGTCGCTACTTGCTGACCTTCAGCTCTGACACGGAGCGGAGTTTGATATGTTTGACTGTGTTGGGATAGTTGGACGTGGTGGATTCATGGTTGAGAATATTCATCTGTAGAAGATTGATGAATATTGTAGGAGATCCCAATATTGTGGTGGATAGTTGATATGTACAATATTCATCAATCTTCTACATACTCTAGGAGGATTCTTGGTTGAGAGGTATCGAAGACGTGAGGTATCGATGATGCAGACACCACTGGATGTTGAACTATGAACCATCATCCCCAGGGGATCTAAGTTGACTCATGTTGACTCATGTTGATTTCTCAGACTAAAGTGGCACAGATGTCGATTTCTCAGAGCCTCAGGACTCCCCGATCCCATCTTTCAATAATTCTGCTTGAGACCCAGCTCAGTACAGACATAGACTAGACATAGCACATGCATTGCACATGCCGTATGGATAAGGACTGGTGCCGATCTGTGTCAAGTCTGTTGAAAAGTGTGGTTTCCAGTACTTTTCCATGGGACGCTTTGCCGAAGTGGCTTGCGTTCTTGGCTGAGTTGAAACCACCAGTTGAGTCGAAGTGTCGCGTGGGCCTTCTCTTGCTTCGTGTCTCTAGGATAGTTGTGGATGTTCATGCCATTCTCTTGAAACCTGGCAGAATGATGCATCTCTCACTACCACCAAGAGCTGAGCTTGGCATTGATGCTACAAATCTTCTGCTACATTTGGCTGATCTGCCAGGCATTTGACATGGATATTGACCGTTTGCCATGCCATAGCATGCTTGGTCTTGGAATGTCTTGGACCACTGGGAAATGCATTGCAGCTCCATGGATTGCCATGGATGGTTCCAGGAGAGAAACGTGCGTCCATGCGCTTCCCCGAGGTCATGTTGAAACATGTTGAAACATGTTGAAACATGTTGAAACAAGGGATGTCAAGTCAGCTCCTGCCCTGAGGCCGTGAAGGCTACACAATGCGTTGCAGCTTATGAGGTGGGCTCAACAGCCACGCATTCAAGACTAAAAAAAAATGGTTGAAACCTCCAACAGCCTGGAAGAATGTTAAAGAACTTTGGATTTAAACAGTTTGATTCAGCAAAAATCCCAATGCCTCAGGGCACTTGGATACACAACCCCCATCTTTCCGGCCAGGTGGTGCCTGATGGCAGTGCAGGTCAGTCGATGACTCTCATGGGTGGCCGCGACAGACGTCGGCTTTTCGTATGGACACATCCATAATTTGTCACAATGGTTGCAAAGTGAAGCAGAACTGTTTAGTTCAATCTTCAATCTTCACCTGTGATGATCGCTGCAAAGCTCACATAGCTTTTGCTCCATAGTTTTTGTGGATATTTGTAATCTCTCAAGTCTAGACATTCCCGTGACAGGTTCTCGCATTCGCATGGTTCAGCATTTGAACGCCAACGCTGCGGCCTCGTCTTTTTTTGTTGAGATGGGCGACATGCGTTGTCCTCATTTAGATGTACCAGCGACTTCTATCTAAAGAAGAGAGATGGACTATTTCATGATCCAAAAAATGTGCCTGCAGCTCTTAGTCCCAAAACATGAAAATCCTGAAATCATGAGCCTGCGGGTTCGGGTCTATGTCTCGCTGGTAATTTGTACCTTTAGTTTCCAGGATTTGCATGAAACATATGCTGCATATATGCTGCATTTGCTCCATACTACGTACCCGGCAAGGTGGGGATGGCCGAGCACGTCCAATTTCTTTGGGAAAAGAGGGTGATTTCCATGTTGAGCGCCTGGGCCAGTGAGCTGAGTGAAGAGGCCGGGCCCATGTGTATGCCTGGTGTAAAAGGTCTTCAGTCTTCAGGTGTTTCAGGTCTCGCAATTTTTTTCAACGAATAGGCTTATATAGCTCAAGACTCAAGACCTTTAAAGCCTTTTGGGTATTTCGGGACACCTGGTCTCTTCATGTTTCATGTTTTTTCATGTTTCAGCCATCCACTTGAAGCTGGGGAAAGCTGACATGTCAAGGCTCGCAACATTGTGGCCCAGCGAAACTGCGGCAAAGGACTCCTTTGGTCAGTGGGAAATGATGGAAATGTAAACTGGTAATTAACTGGGAGATATTGGGAGATGGGATACAGATGTTTCATGTAGGTTCCATGCTTTGTGGCCCATTCCAACTTAGTATATACGGTAGATTATATCATCCCTGGTTACTGTAGTGGTTAGCGGTTAGCGGGATCAGTAGTGCCAATCAACTTATTACTGGGATTATACATGATTATACCATATTATAAACTATGTGCTAAGTGGATAAACCACCAAGTACAATCCACAAGTCCAACAGTGAGACGAGTTTTTTTGTGGCAGTTTGTGCCTCCTGGTCACAAACACATCGTCCTCGACTCTTGTCGATTAAATCACGGTACGTCGTGCTATGCATTGATATACATTTAAGATCATTTAAGATCATTTAAGATATGAATCAAAGTTCTCCCCCAAAATCAACTGGATGGTCTAGTACTGACAGAGATCAGTCACACCTTGAGTAAGCACTTTGTGGTCGCTCTTCCTCATCATCCCACCAGTCCATCAGGTATCCCCGAGGTGTCCTCCAATCTTGGGTTTTCAATATCCAAATGATATCCAGACTCATTAACATCTCCACTGTTGTTGGCTACGCACCCATGTCCCAAGAAAATTCAATATCCATCTATTATATAGCATTTGTTCTCAGTATTCACATTGCCATTCTTATGCCCACTGATTGTCAGTTGCAAGCCCATACAAGTTACATATCCATTCCATATCAACTCATAATATCAAATCAGAAACACTATTCATATCCGCATTCTTGATGACATGTTGAATTCATGTATGGATTTTCCCAGGCTTTTCCAGGTTTCCCAACATTTTCTCCCTTTCCCAAGCGATTTTCCCCCAATCCGTCAGGAGGAGGCTGTCCTTTGCCCGGCTATGACAGCGATCTGTTGGAGCTCCTGAGCCCCTCACCACTGCAGAGGCGATGTGTTTGGTGATAAATTGCAGGTGATTCATGATGATTTATATATTATTTTATATTATATGACTAGACTATATATATATAGAATATCTAGTTATAAAATTAGCTAGATATGATCATGATTTATGATTCTGTGATATTCGATTGACTATTGTGCTGAATTATAGAATATATATCTGGGAATTTATGGTAGATTACATGGTAAGTGACACGGTGCCCAATGCTCGGTGAGGTGTATGGTAAATAACGACAAATGGTGATTAATTGTGATTTATGGTGAATTGATGATAAAGTATGATTATCCATGGAACATGATGATGGTGATGATGATGGTGATGATGATGTTTGATGATTTCTGCCAAGTTATGATAATAGACATGAGAAAGCAGGATACACAAAGAACGTAATCAAAAGTAAGATAATGTAGGAAAACGCCAGATAAAATAAGGTAATGCAAAATAGATGAAGTGTTGCTGGCGGTCTCTGGTTGGGTAGTTGATGGTTGGGTAGGCACAAAGTGTTTTCTTGTCCTTACCTCCAAGAGTCTTACGCAGTGGGCAACTTGTCAGCAACCGACTGTTTTGGATCCGGTCCGCTGAACAGGAACAGCTCGATGACTATCGCAAAGGTGCTGTCTCTGGCGCCTAAGCAGGCCGGTTCAGTACTACCTAGGACCTAGAATGACTGATGGACACGGTCCCTGCACAGAGAATTCTCAGAAGACTCATTACAGATCATTATAGATCATTATAGATCATTATAGATCATCATAGTCCATTCCCAAGTGTAGCGGATGTTGGGTCAAGAACACCATTGTGGCCGTGCTGTGTGTTTCGCAGGTGTCTTTCCGGCGCCTGGCAACGGCAACGGATTCCCTGCCTCACTGGCAACGGGCCTTCGGAAAGCTGCCGCTGACCACGGTTTTGAACGTGACGCAGTGGGACAGCTTCGAATCCCGGGCAGATGAGGCCTGGAAGAAACACAACAGGACAAAGAGGACAAACAGGAATGTCCGAGCCATGTGTTTTTAGCATTTTTTAGCCATGTTTTCGTTTTCATGTTTTTACGTGAGTTGGGCTCCAGGTGATGTCACTCTTCCGGCTGGTTGAACACAATGCCACTGATGTCGAGAGCTTGATGTGTTCGTACTGCTTTTCCTCTGATCACATGGGCAACATATCATGTCAATTTTCATGTCAATTTTCATGTAATAACTTTCACTATGTTTCACCCAAGGATAGTCACTTTGATAGTCGCTTTGATGGCCACTTTGACTCCCTTTTTTGTTGCGAATGTCTTTGCCAAGGACGAGAAGGAGGCCTTCGCCTCCCTGGCTCACGACGCCTTGGACGTCCAACGGCAGGGGGAGGCAAGGAAGTCAGGTGGCCTCACTATGTACATATACAATATATATATATATATTAATATATACATGTATGTATGTATATATAATTATATATTATACCAGTATAATAGATTCTTATATACATTAATATATATATATATATTGTATATATAGGCTCGTCCAGGCTTCTGGAACTACATACGATGGGGTAAAGGGGTGGGGTGGGATGTTAACGTTCATGTGAACTTGCGGCAGCAGTTGATGCTACGCACACGCGGGGGGGGGGGTGGGATGTTAACGTTCATGTGAACTTGCGGCAGGATGTTAACGTTCATGTGAACTTGCGGCAGCAGTTGATGCTACGCACACGCGGGGTGGGTGGGGTGGGGTGGGATGTTAACGTTCATGTGAACTTGCGGCTCGATGTTAACATTCATGTGAACTTGCGGCAGCAGTTGATGATGATGATGATGATGATGATGATGATAATGACCCTAATGAAACTTGTTAATTCCGCGACGAAATTTCGTCACGGAATGGACAAGTTTTACCAACCTAATTCAGGTTTAGGTAGTTCCAGAAGCCTGCACGAGGCTATATATACATACTACATAAATGCCACTATATGAAAATTGCAACACGATGTCTTCTTGTTCTCCAGTGGGATCATGCAAACTGCTTTCACTTGGCCTTGGCGGCCTTGGCGAAGCTTGGCGAAGCTTGGCGAGGCACTGGCATCTTTGCAGTGGCGTTACCTGGAGGTCATAAATCGCCATGACTGCGATGCCAGCCTTCCTGACATCAACGGGGACCGCTGGGATGGGAGAAGTCGAACAGACTGTTCAACGAAGTGTCGCCGCACCATATCAGAAATATATATAGATTATATAGACATGTTGGAAGCACACCCAGGCAGACAATATCATACTGATAGTAGGTACCAGAGCTGAATCACGTAGATTGTCATCGAGAATCATTGAGACCTAAAATTCCAAGATAATTACGTAGATCGTCATTATGGAGCTTGTGTAAGCGCCATTGAAGACAAATGATGCGATAGAAAACCTGGATCGTGCGCAGAACACTGGCAACCGGGCCTGGTCTTTTGCAGTTGTCGTGGCCATAGCAGTGGTCTCACACTCAATGCCCAACTTCCCCGACTGATCAAAACTAGTGTGTCTTGCAACATGCAACCGATGTATAATGTACACCACTGATACCTTGATCCAAGTTGTGCAGATGATGTTATATGACGTTATATGTTTCTATTTCCTGAGCATTTGATCTTCTAAAATTCAGTAGAGATCATTTGCCACTACGTGATCTCCTTATATACTTTCCTTCGCACCGTCCAGCCATGTTCAGTGGTTGAGGCGATAGTTGTGCTCTTGCTGTCGTGCATTAGCTGCTGCTGCGTTAAGCTCTACCGCATCCGGCGCGAGAGGCGGGCGACACGTTCAGTGTCCGTGCGGATGCAGGAGACCATCGTGACACTTTGGGAGGCTGCAGACTGCAGACATCTTTCCACACACGTGGATTTCTATGGTATTCTTACTGTATTCTTTATATATTTTTGTTTTTACTGTTTGTTCATATTGCATCAGCGGTCCCGGAAACCTCAGTGTGCCTTAAAAATGCCAGGCAGGCTCGCCAAGCTGCTAGCTTGTTACTTAGCGCTGCCTCAAGTTGTGCTCCGAGCGACAGGCCGGCGCAGTTGACACCACACGTCACCACCACACGTCACCACCATTTATCCCCTTCACATCATCAGCACCTCTGACAAACAAGGACACTCAAGGACCAACACCAAGGACCACCAAGGACCAACACCATGCAACCCTGGCGATTGAGAAGCTTTGATTTGTTCCGTGTCAAGTGTCAGGGCAGTGGCTCCCACCTCAGAGGCACGGCCTGAATCTTGCCTTGATTCTTGCAACGTAGCACCCAGCGCAAAGATGGCGAACAGTAGGAATAACATGTTTGAACAAAAGCCTGGCACAACTCTTGTAAACAAAGACTCCTCAACTCCTCAACTCAACATACCCCAGATTTTTAAAGAATTTTCTCAATCGACCGGTGAGCCCTCCACACAGCTGTATTCTTGGACGTGTGGGAAAGGCCAGCACCACAGCATCCCAAGGAGAGGTGTTGAGGCGTTGAGGCAGGGAATGCTTTGTTGAAATACGTTGAAATCTTGATGTACTCTACGTTTTCGTCTTTGCAAGGTTGAAACATGTTGAACCTTTGCAATCCTTTGCACAGATTTAACGTTTTTGCATGTTTTTGCATGTTCCTGCTATGAGCTTGTTGGGCATTATTGGGTAGTACCAGTCTTTGGTGTTTTGTGGTGGCGGGTGCTTGCAGTTCTTCCATGTACATCCATGTACCAGGATCAGTGAAACGCTGTTCCATGCTGTTCCACTCTGAGATCTTTTCTGTCCAGAGCACTCCGTCCAAAGGGAACGGATGTGCCACGATGAATTTTTGTGCTCAAGGGGCGATCCGGTTGGGTTCTCTTACACCTTCAACGCAAGGAGCAAATAAGGAGCAAATGGCGAAGGTCATGTCTATCTTATTCTATCTTTAAGATTCTTTAGATGATTCTTTAAGCTTTTTTTCCGGCTCAATTTTGGGTAGCCCCTGGAGAGAAGTTCGGAATTAGGCTGAAGTTCGTACTGGGAATCCCTGTCTCTCATGACTCAAGGGAATCGTCTTGAGGCGCGGCGAGACAGGCTGAGGGCGCGGTGCGGTTCGGCCTTCGGCGTTTCGGGCCGCAAAGTCGCAGGCTTTCTGCGATGCAGTGCTTTTCCACGGTCGCATCAAATATGTCCAAGTGTTTAAGATGTCTTAAAGATATGGTAAAGATGCGAATGAATCAAATCAAATAAAATATATAAAATCAAATATTTGGAGATAAACAGAAAGAGAATTGAATAGCCAACTTAGCATAAATTAGCCAAATTTATATTTCATCGCGTGGCATTCCCTTGGCATTGGCATCTCAATGTGGAGGCGCTCATCCCTTAGCGGAAGCGGTGCCTCTGCCGACTTAGCCTAGCCCACTTAGCCTACTTGGGGCGGTCGATTGGTGATACTTCGGGCTTTTTGAAGCCGGGGGAATGGCTTCGGTCTGACGACAAGCCGCTTTTTGCAAAAAAATCAGCGTGCTCTTCCTGATAGGCACCTGACATGCTCACGGCTTTCGAAGCTCTTGAAAGCATTGAAAGCTCAGAATTTGATCTCCTGTAGCATCCTGTAGCTCTCCGGGGAAGCCATTGAAAATCAACTTCTGTTTGATGAGTTTGCTGACCGGAAGGGTGGCTGACGATTCGCGTCATAACAGCCTCTACCGTTACAATGCTTGGTTCAAAGCGTTGCAGACATACAGAAATAGACAAGGCATGACAGACTGGGTCAGACTAGTGGATTTTCAAATGAAACCTGTCCACATCGAGTCCACATTGCAATTTTATGCAATTTTGATTCTCAACAACTCAGCACATTCAGTACTTCTGAGAACTCTGAGAAAATCTGAGAACTCTGAGAAAATCTGACTCCAACTTCCAATGATTTCTGTGTTTTCTTGGATTGTCGAGTTGTCGATGACCACACCTGGGCTGCCAGAGCTGAGTCAATGATGTCATGGGTCCCCTTCGCCGGATTCGCTCCCATGACGACCCGGAGGTGCGAACCACCACGGTGTATCCCCTGTTGCTGGTGGTAATGGGATGTAATGGGATGTTTGCAGTGCTGTTGGACAATGTTGGACATATGTCAAACTGTTTGACAGGTTTGGTGAACTGAAACGTCTCATCGTTCTAATTGAGATCCTCAGGTCCTCAGGTCACAGTTTTGAGAACGGGAATGGTTCAAGCATCGAAAATAGCTCACTCCTTCGACACTGCGGCCAGGTGCCCGCTCACGAACCCAAGCGGGAGCAGAGCTTAGCATCAAGGGGTCGTTACTGTAGGAGCGAATTCGTGTTCGAATTGTCGTCCCAAGATGTTTGCAGATTGATTTTGGCGAAAACCAGCAATCCTGTTGCTGCATTTTTCATGTCAGCATTCACTGATGACGAATCTTTGACAACAATATATTTTCAAGTTCAACTTAGTTCAACTTCATTTCCACAAGTTGCACGTTTGAAGTCCAGTCCCGGAGACTCTTTTCCAGCCTTTTCTGCTGGATTTCATGATGAATATATATCATATATATATATGACATATATATGACATATATATGACATATATATGACATATATATGACATATATATGACATATATATGACATATATATATATTATATGACATATATATATGAACAATTATGAACATGATGAATCATTGATGTTTTTCATCCCGAAATCACGAGGATGTGGCAGATGCCCCAGGCATCCCCCGGGAGACGCGGCTCGGCCGGCGGGTGGAGGAGGAGAGGGTTTGGGAGTCTGGGGAACATGGGCTATGCGGCATGCGGCTATACATGGCCATACTATACGATCTATACGCTATTCCAGCTATTCCCCTGTTACTTAGGAACGTGATGATAAACCACGGATTTTAGGGGTCCCCAATTTTCACACAACCCTATCTGATTCGGATCCAATGAGTTGAGAATTTGAAGGGCTAAAAAGTCAGTCGACGCTTATCATGCCTATCTCCCGGCATCCCCGGCTGACCACAGTGATACCAGGAGACATGCTTTATCACGGACCAGACGGTGAGACAGGCGCTGCGCAACTAGCGATGCTTTTGCTGTGTCGCAGCTTAGTGCATAGAAAGGTTATCAGATAGGTATAGAATGGTATAGACATAGTATAGATAGTATAGACCAGTGAGCTGAGGCGTTGCAGCCATCCCAGTTGAATGGTGGCAACCTTGTGGACATCTTTCAGAATCGTGAGGCAGGAAGAACTGACGAGCAATTCTGTCTACCCATGAATACCCTTGCTAGAATCCGTTGGCAAATTGGAATGAACATGAAAGAACATTGCGGTGTTGAAATATGGTGACCCACACCAGTCCCTCGGATATTCCCCTGATGTCCGTTGACCATTCTCACCCGTCTGCATTTTGACAGGACGATTTCGAAGCCGTTGAGACGATGGAGGTCTCCTACACTTCAAGCTCCGGCGAGAAGGCTCTCCTTCACTCCTGCTGTGATTCACTAAGAGATTCAGGGTTGAAGTGGAGATTTCACAAGCCCCACATGGGGCTTTCAACATATCTGGACATTCAAGGTACACAGATGGGGATTTTAACCCGCAGGGAGTTTGCGTAGAGGTCCAGGAGTTGGTCTTTGCTGAAAACTCCAAGCAGAAGACCTTCAGTGGACCACGGATCCTGGTCTCAGCATCTCGTCTAGCCGCTTTGTCTGTGCACGTCAACATGGATCTGATATGGAAAAAAAATCCGATATGTTCCGATTTCAATGGGCTGGATCTGTGCCACCGAGGCAAGCAGGGTGAATACGATGCACCGGGCCATCTCTGTCCTCTCTCGGAAGGTATGCGCTGGGGGCCATGCTTCAGTCCTCTTCAGTCAACACGTGTGGTGACTGCAGGTTGACAATCTGACTACCACTTTGCGGGTATGCAGAGAGCACTACTACAAGGATCTCCGTCATATTTTTGTGGAATTTTTGCGTAGACGTTGCGGAGAATGCCAGAGAATGCCAGAGATGCGAAGGTACCCATGTGACCGAAATTGAAGTGATCCTACAGCAAATACTTGTACATGATGTACATGTAAATACACGTTCACCAGTCACCAGGAGTAAGCTCTGACGCAGCATGGCCGCAGGAGCTCTTCTCCCTTCGTCATGGTCGGCAGCCCTCTGAGGAACATGAAAAGTTCTGGTGAGAGCCCCTAGGGTGGTGCCAAAGGAAACACACAACATTTCTCAAATTGTGGTGGGGTGGCAATTCAAACAAATGGACAACCTGTTTATTCTTTTTTATTCGGCAATATAATAAACTAGTATAAAATATGTAAGGATATAACATGATATTTGTTTGAAGAATCTGATTTGTTTGAATAACTATACCAGTTTCGGATTTGCTTGAAGAATCTGATTGCCAAGTCAGGGCTCAGTAGCACTGGACAAACAGCTGCACCTTTGGTGCATCAGACCATCCCCGACTCTGCGAGGTTCACTCCTCAGGCCTACCAAGACACGGTCTGAACCTCGGATCAGGCTGAAATTGAAGGTTTACTAGTCATATCTAGTCATATCTAGTCATATCTAGTCATATCTAGTCATATCTAGTCATATCTAGTCATATACTAGTCCAGGATCCGGTATGTTGAAGAGAAGAAGATGCTCTGATTCCTCATTACATCAGTTTAGAAGATGAACTGAATCATGACCGTACTTGCGGAATATCACCTCATCGGCAGCTGTAGATGCTTCTACAGAGTCATGCAGGTGTCTATTCAAGAATTGCGGAAGCGCTTTGGAACAGAACAGGAGGTGCTCGGGATTGCCCGGGATTGACCCGCCGGGTCATCCTGACCTGGGCGGGTCACGTGTGCAAGGAACCAAATCCAAAGCACAGTCCATGCCAGGACTTGCGCAAGCGCGAGCAGGAAGTTCGTGAACTCAGGCAGTCCATAGATTTGATGAATAGTAACACAGTGTAACACAGTGTGTTATTGTATCGTTGTCAATCGTTGTCACAGTTTGTGCAACGTGATTTGTACCAGGGCCAAATTGCGTCAAATTGACAGCATCGCTGAAGATCGCCTTGAGAAACTCATCACGCATTGGCCTTAGCTGCCTTAGCTGCTTAGCTTTTCCAGGGCTACAGCGCTCAGAGATGTGAGTTGCTTGTCTTGAAGACTTGATCAGACTTGATCAGACTTGATCCATCTGATGGTCTTTTCACGTTGAGTCACGTTGAGTCACTGAGAACTTGCACCTATTCGCTCATCACCGCTGCAGAACCATGGTGAGACATCACTTGAAATAGACTTCAACATCTTCAACGTTTAAGTTGAGCACGCCGCATATCTTTGGATCAGGTGCAAGACGATTCCTGAGCTCTTCAGTTTCTCGGCAGACAGACTGTGACAGATGTGACACATTGTGACACTCATGCAACCTGTCTGACTCCTTGAGTGAAGTGTGGAATTGCGCAAGCTGAGAGTCCAAGAATGTCACCAGAGAGTCCTGTCATCGCAGTGTTCTGATGCGCTTCCAACTCCTTGGGAACTCTGTCAGACTGGATGAGAGACATGAACGGTTTCCGGGAGGTGCGGCTTGTGGATTGCCGCAAAAACCTGAGTCTATTCACTCTCGAAGCTTCACATGTGCCACCGTTTTGACCTGATACATCCTGATACTGTATTCTAATTATTATAGAGAACTCTAGATGATATACGTATATAGTATAATAATGTATAACGTAATTGTGGTAAACCCAATGCCATAAACCATCCCCCAAATCACCATTTGGGGGTGGTTTGCTAACCATCCCCAAATGGGAGGTTTGTTATTGCGCTGTTGGGTCGTGCGCGGCAGGCGGACTTTGACCTCCATTTGCAGGTCCTTGCGCAGGACCTAATATGGAATAATATAGACAGTGATGTGATATACATAGAATCTATATTACATACACAGATGTCCATTGACATATACTGTATATATATATACTGCGTATGTATATACTATACTATACTATACTATACTATACTATACACACATGTATGTATGTATGTATGTATGTATGTCTGCATGTCTGTATGCATGCATGAACTCATGAACGTATGTATGTATGTATGTATGCATGCATGCATGAATGGATGTATGTATGCATGCATGTATGTATGTATGCATGTATGCATGTATGCATGTACGCAGGTACGCATGTATGCATGTATGCATGTAATGTAATGTAAATGCAATGTAATGTAAATGTATAGTCCCACCTATTTCCCCTACAAAATCTAGCACGTTGACGTTTGAAACAAACCATTTTTTTGAGAGTCATGTGATGGTATCTTGAATGCTCCTCAAGCTGATTGAGATTTTGTAGGAGGCCATTTTTGGGCTGATATTTGGGATGACTTTTTGGATGTTTCTGGTTTTGTAGTGTTTTTGGTTTTCAGGAATTTAAGGCCATGGTTTAGATTTTGTCGGATGTTTCTGGTTTTGTAGGGAAATGGGCTGGACCATGATTTAAGTTGATTTCATATGGTTCCATTTGGTTTCAAAAATAGTTGACATATATGATTCCACATTTTCTGTGGCATTGAAATTTTGGAACTGAATGGCATTGATGTTGATGTGGAGACATACATTTTTTTTGGGCCACTGCTTCAGGGGTTCCTCACAGCATGGCAGAGGCTCAAAGAGAAAATGATTTTTATACCTCAAACACTGGTTTCTCTACAAAATGCATTTTTTTTCTGAGACAATTTTTAAAGGTTTTGTGAATCAATTTTTAATGCCTTTATATAGCAGATGGATTTCTATGATTTGGATTTTGTAGATTTGGAGGGGGTGACAGGTGTAAGCCCAAGTGGGGTTGCATGTTAAGATTTTGTAGATTGAAGATGTTCATGTTCAAATGACATGTTTCTGGTTTTGTAGGGCCCCCCCCCCTATGTTTTTAGATTTGTGTCTACAAAATCTGAACCCCCAACCCCCAGGGCTAACAAACGCAACTATGTAAATGTAATGTAATGTAAACGTAATGTAAATGTAATGTAAATGTAATGTAAATGTAATGTAATGTAAACGTAATGTAAACGAAATGCAATGTAATGTAATGCAATGTATATAATGTAATGTAATGTATATAATGTAATGTAATGTTAATGTATATAGTGTAATGTAATGTAATGTATGTAGTAATGTAATGTAATGGATGTAGTAATGTATGTGTTAATGTAATGTAAATGTAATGTAAACGTAATGTAAACGTAATGTAAACGAAATGTAATGTAATGTCATGTAATGCAATGCAATGTAATGTAATTTGATGTATTGTAATGTAATGTCATGTATGTAATGTTGTGTAATGTAACAGTTATGTTATGTTATGGTATGTAATGTAATGCAATGCAATGCAATGTAATGTTCTGTTATGTTATCTAATGTTATGCTATGTTATGTTATTGTATGGTATGGTATGGTACGGTCTGGTCTGGTATGGTATGGTATGGTATGTATGTACACGTAGATATACATACGTATATCTGGTTATATCTGTACATGCATAGACAGATACATAATTTCAGAGGTGTGGCCTTTGTCAAACCAATTTCGGGCTGTTGGGCAATTTCTGAGCTGAACAAAGTCGCGAAGAAATACCTTGAGCTTGGCAGGAGATAAGTCTCAAGGCTCGCCCTGTGGATGAACCACACCAAGGGGGTATGGCTGAATCATAAGCTGTTGTGGCTTGTGAGGGCCAAGTTGCCACGTTTGGACTGTGATATGGGGTAGAGTGTCAAAATATCCAGTTGTGCCGGAACATGCAGAAATTGAGTGAACATGATGATCATGATGAAATCATTGATTTGGTATCCCTCCACCGCCTAAACCTTGGTGGTAATGGCAAAGTCCAGCCAAGTCCAGAAATCCGATGGCAGCGTTGACGGAAGGCAACTGATGCAAACAAGGCCTTGCGAGCGCGGCTGGTGGATCTCAATAGTTGAAGATAGTTGAAATATGTAGTGCTTGGTGTGTAAGATGCAACCTGCCGCTTCCGCAGAAGATACAGCAGGTATCAGCAGGTCACGTTCCGAGCTGACTGTAGTGACCACATCTGTTACATTCTGTTACCCTTGCAGGCCCCTGACCTGGAGAAGGCACCGGAGCAAAACTTTGCTGCGCACGCGCAGCATGCGCAGCATGCTGTCCAGATGTGTCCAGGGCTTGCAGTGACCTCAGGAGAAGCTGAAGAGCAGCCTTGAGGATGCAGAATTTGAGGTGGATACTGAATGATACTAGACTGGGAGACTGGGGAATGAAGATCTGAAGAACTTGGAAAGAGACATGGAGGGAAAGGCTTTGGTGGACCTGCAATCCCTGGACAACTCTTTCCGCAACCAAATCTAGCAACAAAAACATAAAACGCTTGAGAGAGAGAGAGAGAGATGTTGCCTTGGTGCTCTTTGGTACAACTGATATACTGATATACAGTCCAGGTTGAGGTCAAGCCGAGATCCACTTAGTGTAGCAATGCCTTTTCTGCGCAGGTTGAGAGTTTGCAGAAAAAGCTGATGGAAGCTCAGGCAGTGCCGTCTGGAATGGTCCGGAGTCCGGACAGGTTCTTGTTTTCGAGGTGTTTTCAGGTTGGGTTTGGGCACGTTTGGGTTTTTGATGTTGTTGTGCCAACATCTGCAGGTGGCCAACCAGGGTCTCATGGATTTGCTGACAGAGAGGCCTTGACGGCAATCATGTCTTCCTACCAGAGGATTCTCAGCATCTACAGGATCTATATGGATCTATAGATATCCATAGGATCACATAGGATCTATGATGATCTATGCAGTCCAGAAGCAACCTGACATTGTGAAAGGATCCAGCAACAGCAGGTTGCTCTCCCCACCGAAGTGGCATTCACCCTGAGGCGGGCTGAGCCAATCGTGGTAGCACCGGCGCCCATCGAGGCCGGAGGGAACCAGTATGGAACCTGCCCTGCAGCTGGCAACCGTCTTTTCGCATAGAATTGGTGTATGATGGTGTATGTACCTTTGCAATTCCTCTACATCAATGTCCAAGAATAGGTGCACCAGCAACCTACAGAGGTATATATCTCATTATATGTTAGTGTCTTAATTGCGTCTTAAGGATGAAATAGATCAGACCATAACAATCAATAACAGATATATACTCGATTCCGTTTGCTCAGGAGGAACCTGATCTGGACGACTTGAGTAACCCCAGTTCAGTGGCCACGCCTGTACGGTCGAAGGAGGTGGCTGAGATGTCGTCTCCCGGCGCAGTTGCACGCTGGACTTGATTGAAGTTTCAAATGAAGATATTGAACAATCTACCATCATCTGCTACCCGCTACCCATCCACTACCCATCCACCATCATCCACTACAGAAACTCCGAATCAATCACCAATCAGCTCCACTATCATCCACTACAGGTATCATCATCCAGTAGTCATCCAGCTGCACATGATTTTCCAAGGCAGCGCCGACACTCCCAGGCCACTGAGGATCGATCGCAGTGATGGGCAGTTGGTCATGATCCCGAATAGCTGGATGGTTTCAATGGAAAATCCGACGAAACAATGGGATGATAACATATGAATACATATGATAGCTGGGGGTAGCCATGATTTTAGGAAATCATCATATTTGCTGGGAAAACCCATGGCCCTGCAATGCCCTGTAGTTTTTTTTTTGGTGAAGCCAGTAACCATGTTTAGTTCGGTTGCCCGAATTAGAGGCCAGTGAAAAAGCCTGTGCCCAGCCCTGATGCTGCAAGGACACCTTGACCATCCTGAATAGGCAGGGCCGTGCAGGAAAGAGTTGGCTTTATGATGGCAAACAGTTAGTTAATAGTGTAAAACGACTATCAATTACAACCTGAAAGAGTTGACTTTACTATTCTAATATATTCTAATCTCAATTTGAAGATTATTGAGGATCCTTTGGGATGCCCGATGTCCTCTATGCATCCTGTCCATTGCCTGTCCATGATTTGTCAGAGCTGTCTGTCGGCATTGGACAGTTGGGACATCTTTGCTTATCTGATGAAATGGCTTCACATTTTCCTACCGGGTCCTTGCGTCCTGCGTTTCGAGATGTTCCCTTGACCATCGACCATGGAGAATTATATCAATGGTCAATGATGGGATCGCAAAGCATCATGCCAGATGCAGAGATCACAGATATGAACAATGTTGAACAACCGCAATATGAACCACAATTGTGAGATGTTTTCTGTATATTCATCTGATGACGGCCCTTGCTCCATGAGTCAATGAGATGTTTTCAGGCAAGCACAGGCGGCTGCCGAGCTTGCTGAAGCGGAGGCTCGCTGTGCTTCAGTGAAGCCGCAGCAGTCACAGCAGCTGCAAAATGCCAGGAGAAGAACAGGCAGCTGCAAGCATTGGTTGCAGCCTCAACCACATGAGTTGCCACCAGAAGCACCGAACTCCTGTATTAGCATATCGCAATAATACATATATATATTTAATGTACATAATATATATAAAACACACACAAATATAACACACACACATATATATAATATACATATATATATAGTACATATATATATATACCTATATATAATACATATATAGATAGATATACATAATACATATATATATAGTACATATATATATATAGATATACATAATATATATATAGTACACATATATATATATATAATATATATATAATATATATAATACATATACACATATATAATGCATATACATATATACAATACATATACATATACATATATATATAATACATATACATATAATATATACATAGTACATATATATATATTACATATATATATATATATTACATACATATATATATAATACACACATATACATATAGTACACATATATACACACATATATATATTTATATATGATATATATATATAATATATGGTACCCGCCCCCCTAAAGTCTACCTTGTCTTTGTTTTTGCTGGTATTTACAGTGTTTTGTTAACATTTTTAGTGTTTTTTTTGGGGGCAAAAATTGAGATAAAAAGTGGTTCATTGTTGGGTTCAATCGGGGTGCCATATATATATATACACACATACACATTGACTTTGACATCTTGAATCCAGTAACCCAGTACACACAAAGAGTAGCATGTCAAGCGCAGAGTCTGATGTCTAATGTACAGTGTGTACTTCGATGTTTGTACCTACCAAGAGGCCATGGGTTACCTGAGCGTGGCTTGATGTTGATCAAGGCATTCAAGGCATCGCATTCCGGCGCAAAGGAGTTAATGAAGGAGATGCCCTCTTCAAGCTCATGGAAAACCAAAAAAACAACCAAAAAAATAGTTTTTTTTGGGTAGCTAATATATGAATAAATAAAGAAATAAACGAATACATAAATACATAAATAAATAAATGAAGAAATGAATACATGAATAGATGCATAAATACATAAATAAACAAATAAGTAAATAAATAAATCAATATATATATATATAATACATACATACATACATACATACATACATACATACATACATACATACATACATACATACATACATACTACATACATACATACATACATACATACATACATACATACATACATACATACATACATACATACATACATACATACATACATACATACATACATACATACATACATACATCATACATACATACATACATACATACATACATACATACATACATACATACATACATACATACATACATACATACATACATACATACATACATACATACATACATACATACATACATACATACATACATACATACATACATACATACATACATACATACATACATACATACATACATACATACATACATACATACATACACACACATACACACATACACACATACACACATACACACATACACACATACACACACATACACATATACACATATACACATATACACATATACACATATACACATATCCATATACATATACATACATCCATACATCCATACATCCATACATCCATGCATGCATGCATGCATAATATATATATATATTATACTGTACTATATATATATATATTGTACAGTACACACACGTATAATACATATATATATATATGTATACTACATATACATATTATATGCACACATAATATAAATATACAAATACATAGATATTATATACATTGCGTACATATAGCTGTGGACTCTTGGATCAGCAGCCAAGGGTCTGGGACTTTGGGATTGACCTTGGATCGAGGCAGATGCTTGGGAAAAGGAAGCCCGAGAGCAGTCCCGAAAGTTCAGAGCTCAGTTTTGGCGTCTTTGGAAGGGACATGAAGGGAATTTTTGCTGAGGGGACCCCTTATTCTGGTCGCTTCGCGACGACAACCCGCACCAGAATTATTTGCTCAAGGTGGAACGTGTGAGCTATCTGAGAAAGACTAAATCACAATAAAACCTGCTTGTAATGTTTTGTTTTTAAACTTTGTGAAACCATTATACTTATAATCCATTATTAGTAGTACTGTGTATATAGATTTTTTTTCTGGTCAAATTTAGATAAACATATTCTAGGTTTCTTAAGATATGGACTTTACACACTTGTAAGATTCTCCTGGAAATCCTGTTGGCCTATTTCAGGTTCATTGGTTGGTTTAGGGCTTAGGGGCAATGTTTAGCGTATGTTGACCTCAAGTTGAGGCTATATCGAGTTGTTTTTGTTCATTTTGGACTCTGTCAGGTCCATGTTAGACCTGTTTTGACCCCATGAAGTCCATGTAGTCCATGTTGGGACACAACTGAACTTAATTTTGGTTTGTTTGCTGTTTTTTCATGTTTTGATGTTTTTTGTACTTTACAGGCAAAAACCTGTTTTTTTTTGCATTTTTTTGCGTTTTTTTTCACTCCTTTTGATGTGAGGAAAAGGGTTCAAACCAAACCAAATCGGACCAAGACCAACTTCAAACTGATTTGGGCCCAACATGAGACCCCACGTGGCCCAATGCAAGCAAAAGACCGTCACCATCCTTCGAAAATAGCACACACATTGCAAAACAAACCTCAAAAATACCAAAAAATCAACCCAAAGTCGGTTCAATCTGGGAATTCCAGGAACGCAGTGCACCCTAACTGTCGCATAAACACTGAACATAGGTTCGATCTAGGTTTGGCACTGGCATGAACATGACAAACATACACACACACATTTTCTTTCGTTTTTTTTCCAGTTTTTTTTGTTTGTGTTGTTTTTTTTCCTTCGAACAGCTTGAAGTATTCCCATAATATATGACCATATTGGCATTGAAAGCAATAAGAGCGGATTTGGAGCCTGTGTTCCCGCAATGTTATGCCATTTGGACCTACATTGAGCCTATTTTGGCGGTATGTTATTGGGCACATGGCCGATCTTGGGGTGTATGGTCCATCCCTTGTCTTTGTTGGGCTTATTTTGGACCCATGCTGGAGCTTTGTAGGATCTATGTTGGCTGCTTAGCGCACTTATGACCTTTTCAAAAACGTTGAAAAACACAGGATTCTAGAGCAAAAATACCCCCCAAAGCTAAAGCTTAACAGCTACAGCAGCTGCTGCAATTGCTTCCGGTTAATGCGTGCACCTTCAGCACGGGCGGATTTACACTCTCAGCATCTCTAAGTTCACACACCCTTGAAATCCCTTTAATGCACTTTGGTTTGGGAAGAGATCTAGTATCTTTGTGTTTAAGAAACACCAATGTGAACATCACAAGTTTCCTGATGTTTCCTGCTCAGCATCATCCCGTCACGACTGTGTTCTGACATCGCCAGGGTTCATGTAGGAGCCACGATTTGCACTGGGAACCTTTTCCTTGGTCTTCACCACTGCGGATGCCAGGAACGTCCAGTTGGAGCGAGCAAACAAGGAGGGCTTGGTGAGGGCACACTGGTTCAAGTACTGGTAACTAAGAACACTATATAAGAACATCAGAACACGAGCGACCTTTTCCCCAAGTATCCATTCTGGATATTATCCAGACCTCAAAACCTGAGCATCGTTTTTCCTTCTGTCGCACACCAAGCGACAGCTTTGGTGAAGGACGCAGCGCATCTGCAGAAGGCAAAAGATCAAGCTGAAAAGGCACTTAGCTTCCAGACAGCTAGCTGATGGCTTGCAGCATGAAGTGCCATGATCTGACAACATCTAAACCTGGATGCCAAACGAGTCAAAGTGAAGCAACTTGATTGTCAGGATTTTTGAAGTTACCCTGTGCAACCAGAGTTGACGCCAGGACGCTGCAAAAGCCAATCAGCAAAAAGAGGCTCTGCAGAAAAAACTGGAAGCCTACCAGGTGCTCCAGTCGATCGCTACCAAATCTCTCATCCATGCGTGTTTGATCAAGGGCCTTTACGGCCACATCCCAGCATCTGTTCTCTGTCACCGCAGACCTTCAGAATCCTTCTGGGAGCATGATCCACCAAGGAAAAGTACAAGAGCCAGATCGAAACTCTGCGAGCTGATGGGTTTGTCCCCACCTCAGCCACAGCAGCGCCCATGATGCCATTTGCATACTGTCAATGGTGCCCACGACTCGGTTGGTCCAGGAAGTCGAATCCGTCAAGATGTCAGAGGTCCGCCATGTGAAGACATGGGAAACCCATGGAAGCCCGGCGATTTCAGTTGCTTGACAGTGCGGAGTTCAAATGAGTTCAATGGTTTATGTTGAAATCCAGCGTCACCACCTTGAATCTTCGCCTGATCATCGGGCGATTTGTTTGGCATTCGTGTCCGGATGAACTGCAGGATGGAGGTCTGCTGCAGCCCCAGAGTCTTGGACACTTCTTCAAATGTGCGGCATTGTTGAACTCTGCAACTGCGCAAGTAGATGGGACAGTGGCCATGTGGGTCTTTGGCAACTTCTTTGCAACTCTGAGGTTTTCCAGGAGAAATACCATTGCCATCAACTCAGCTCCACTCGGTGTTTAAGGAAAAGAAACACACTGGACCATAACCTCTACTGTCACTACCAGTATTCATATTCATCAAACTTCATTAAAATTTTCATTTGACATACTGATAGATATTAACATTATTAACAGATATTAACAGCAGGAGTCGGCAAGAGGGTCAAAGGTGTCAAAGGTGTCAAAGGTGGCCACAAAGATCCACCAGTCAAACAGCGGCTGGTCTCAGGAGGAGGAGCACCTTGCGGATCTGAGCAAGGCACCGACCTTGGTAGGATTCTCAAGATGAATTACTTCACTTAGTGATCCCCACCAAGTGACATTCACCAAGTGACACATATTCTGACATTCTATCTGGCATTCTATATATTCTATGTGACATACATGCTAACATTTTACCTGGCATTCTTTCTGGCATTCTACCTGACTCATATATTGTATCCTGGGCTGGCTGCTGTTGGGTATGATATGTATAGACATAGATATGCTTTTGGGTCATTTGGGGACTTCCATCAACATAGGGCAAACTGATGCTTCAACTGCTTTGACCTTCAACAGCAACAGTGGATATCCTGTGTTGTGAATGATTTGATTTGTCTGTTCTTGGTGTATGTACTTCCCGCAGGGGCGACTGAAGCCGGGAAAAGCCACTGAGAATGCAACCAGAGTTGGTGGATGACTCGATGGTTTCGTTGGAACCTGATCCCCCGTCCCAAGGCATCCAAGGCATCCAGCCGGGCAGCATCAAAGTCCTCTGGAAAGGACGGCCACCATTTGGGGATAGCTGGGGCACATTTTGTGAATCTTCAAAGCAGTGCAATGTATACGGCATATTATAGTATAATATATGATATTGCTATACATTATATGTTAGCAATATCATATATTACATTATATAATTATATCATATTCTACTACGGCTTATATGATATGATATTTGGGTTGATGCAGAAGGATATCTCTGCGAAGTTGTCCATTGTTGGACGGTCAGAGTTTTTGCGTATCCGATTTTTCTACACATCCTCAGGTCTCTTCTCATCCTCAATGTCAGCAAGAATCAGTGACACAGTTAAACACGGCGCCAGAGTTAAAAAATCCATTTCATGTAGAGTCCTAGATAATACAGTGATACAACATGATACAACATTGCCATAGTTCAGAACCTTACTCCACTTCAAGTGACTACAGGTAGAGGTGCATTTTTTCTCGACGCCAGGGCTCGAACTCGCCAAATTCAAAAGGAGGCAAAAGCCCACGCTCACCGCGACGGGCAAAATCCAAGGCATGCCGGTGATGGAAGGGCCTGGATCATATACGATGACCTGGGAATTCTGGTCATTCAGACATATTCAGTCCAGAATTCCATAACTTATCACGATTTCCATGGGTTCAATCAAATTGATTCAAATTGTACATTCATGAACAGGGGCCATGATGGACCACGGAACATGACGGGTCTTCTGGGACTGTATGTTTACCTGGCCAAGCTCGCGGTCAAATCTTGATCTTCCAGGGACACAAACCGGAGAAGGAAGAGAAGGCCGAAGAGGGTGGCGCGGTGCAACTCTGGCCAACCACCAGAGGTCAACAGCGTTTTCCGAGTCAGCAAAATTCGACCATATTCCCACCATTCACCAAACAAAAACAACATTTGCACCATTGCCACACTGAGAAACATGTGCTGGAGACATGTGCAGGAGGAGGACCCTGGTCCTGATCCTTTTCAGGCTTGTTCGCGGGCTGTGTTTTGAAGTTCCCACAGTTTAGAAAGACAATCAGATAATCGAATCACTGATCATTGAGGTTCACTGGTTCTCTGGCAGGTAATCTTTCCTAAAACCTGGTTCCTTCTGGGATGGGCTGTGACCGTTTCGAAGCAGTGAGTACTGGCGATTTGTTGACTTTGCCACCACACTGGGATGCCTGGGGGGCTGTCCAAGACTTTTGAGCGTCACGCAATCATATATATAGATACTTAGTGCCGCAATCATGCGACAAGACGCTCGGGTGGTGGCCAGATGCTGAACGATCTTGACAATGCTGAGGAGGAGGCACAGGCTGGGCGGCTGGGCGGCTGGGGGGGCTGGGTCTGAGGAATGGGTCATGCCGTTGTGGCCTGCAATGCCGCTGTGTGCTCAATATCATTCGATGTCTTTTTAAGGAGCAAAGGGTAAGATGTCAAAGTTTGTCAAAGCAAGTCATTTCAACATTCTTTTTATTTTCTGAGTGCTTGCATGGCTTGTGGCCTCTGAACCATGAAAGACTTGGCTGCTTGAAAGTGCTCCAGGACCCAGACCAGGCAGTTTCCCTTGGTTCGGAGGCGGACTTCCGCTGAATCATGCCTTTTTCAACACTTTTCAACCCCACGGGCTCCAAAAGGGTTCTGTGGTATGCTTCGGTTGGGCTGTGGTATGCTTCGAATGCTTCGGGCTGGTCGAGCCCGGACTTGAACACCGTCCGTTTGTCACGTTCGCTCATAAAGGCCTTCCTGAGAAGCGATGGGACCTTCGGAGGCGAAACGGCAGGTGTATATAGCTACGTAGCAGCTACGTGTAGCTACTAGTTACATCTAGTTACTAGTATAGGCAGTATAGGTCTTGTCCGCCATGACTGTCATGTGGATGGCTGTGTGAGTCTTGTGCCAAAATATATACATTGCCGTGAATGACTCTATAGTACTCTACAGTACAACATTCTATAACAAATAACATTATGATTGTATTCAGTAAAATGCTCCGCCGTGCATATTTAATCAGAACAAGGAGACAAGACCGACACGCGACAGGCGACAGCGCCTTGGCACTTCCTGAGGCACGGGCTGCGCTGCGTAGTCACTTTCAAAATCCTTCAAAGACATTCAACCGATTCACAGATGGCTTGAAGCACAGGTACTGAGACTTCGCTAATCTTGGCGAATAAATCTTAGCTAAAGAAATCTAAAGCGCTTCTAATGCTGGGCATAGCTGGACATAGCTATGTCATGCTATGTCCCTGTCTTCATCATTGCTTAGACTTGATGCTCTGGTCCACCGCCCTGTTCCAACGATCCGCTGCGCAGGGAATTGGCATCGGTGTCTCAAGGAGCCGTGGTTGCGGAAGAGAGCCATTCAGATCGGAGACATGTGTTGGCATACTGAAATATGTGAATTTGATTTAATTGATTAGTATGCCATAATATGTATATATATATATAAATTATATATATATATGTATTATATATATGTATTATATATATATTAATATAAATATATATGTATTATATATATGTATTATATATATATGTATTACATATATGTATTATATATATATGTATTATATATATATGTATTATATATATATGTATTATATATATGTATTATATATATATGTATTATATATATATATGTATTATATATATATATATATGTACTATATATATGTATTATATATATGTATGTATAATATATATATATGTATTATATATATATATATGTATTATATATATATATATGTATTATATATATATGTATTATATATATGTATTATATATATATGTATTATACATATATGTATGTACTATATATATATGTATTATACATATATGTATTATACATATATGTATGTACTATATATATATGTATTATATATATATGTACTATATATATGTACTATATATATATGTTATATATATATATGTATTATATATATATATGTATGCATTATATATATATATGTATTATATATATATGTATTATATATATATGTATTATACATATATGTATTATATTTATATATGTATTATATATATATGTATGTATTATATATATATATATGTATTATACATATATATATATGTATTATATATATATGTATTATATATATATGTATTATATATATATGTATTATATATACATGCATATATATATATATATGTATTATATATATATATTTACTATATATATATGTATTATATATATATGTATTATATATATATATGTATTATATATATATATATTTACTATATATATATGTATTATATATATATATGTATTATATATATGTATTATATATATATGTATTATATATATATGTACTATATATATATGTATTATATATATATTATTATATATTATAGTATACCAATTAATATACTAATTTGATTCATCTAAGGATATCTAAGGTGCCTTTGCTTTGACCATTTTGGATCTGAAACCTGGCCTTGACACCAGGGATGAGATGAACAGCTTCGAGGCAGGTCATTCCGTGGACAGCATGGAGAACCAAAGTTGATCAATGTGGGTTATAAGTGTGACAATAATTTAATGTACAATGTAGAATATATATATACGTATATTATATAACTTATATATTATACATTACTATACGATGGTATTATATCCCTGGCCAGTTTTGTGTTTTGTTGTCTCTTCGGAGGACTTCCAGCTCACAGATGCATGTGTGTGATGCAGTCGTGGCCATGGTGAGCGGCGTGGGCCACTGGGCCACGGGGCCACGGGTGATGCCCCACCCTGCAGGTCTCCCTGGGTCTGTTAGAAGACACAGACTACACCAACCTCACGACCGAAGGCCGCTTCGTTGCCACGCTGCCAGTTGCACCATCCAAATCCTCCAAGTACAGCTGTAGTCGCTGAAGCGAGGTCCCAAGCAGTTGCAGGATGCAAGTCATGGTCTCAAAAAATTGAACTGTCCAATTGTTGGATTGCCAAGTAAGCCAAATTAGATCAAATTGGTGATAGAACTTGAGGTCCAAGTTTCATGTGCGAACGCCTTTATGTCTCTTAGCTTGCGGATCTTGCATGTTGCAGAATCACAATAGGGAGGAAACAATGTCGTGATTGAATCGGATATGTTAGTTCTCTCTAGCCCTCAGGCATTCTTTAAAAAATATCAACGCGTGACATGGCAGCTGACGCTGTCACATCGTCGCCCAAGGCGTGCAGACGCTGATTACAACAGATTATCATCCTCCACGATGGCTGGTCGTCCTGACACATTTGGAGATCGACAGTTGGATTAAGTTGATGAAATTGATGTTGAGTTGCCATTGTATCATGTCATGATTGGGAGACATAGGATCTGTTCTCAACTTCGAGGTATCAATTTGTAAGGCAGGCCCCAAAGCCTCTAACGTAACTGGTTGCTGCACAATGCACCATGCCACATTTGTCGGAGGTGCTGCAAGATGAAAACAATACTGGAGATGAATGGGTGTCCAGTCAGGCTCGTAGTTGACATCTACGAATACAATTTGAGATACATCATGACTCATGACCATTCATGACCAGGGTTACCCCAACTCAGAGGTAAATGATGGCCACAACAGGGGGGAAAAGGTCAAAATTTGCACCATATGATACCTCTTTAGTCCTCTTTAGCTGCCCAGTTTTCCCATGTCTTCCCCATTTGTACCTGGGGAGCCCGAACTATCCAGACACAGCTCTTGGGAGGCTGCCTTAGATGACCTGATCGAGTACACCAAGTTCAAGCTCTTGCAGTGGTGTGGAGCCAAGAAAAACTGATGAATTTCATACTGGATCCACTGGAATTCATCGAATGCCAGATGAATTCCACAGGATTCACTAGAAGGGAAGGAATATTCACATACAGTCATACAGAGTCATACATATTCACACAAGGGACTTTGTGATGCAATGCCAAAACTACGGTATGTTACGGTTGCTCAGGCCCTTTAGCTGGTCCATGTAAACAATTAGACTGAAAGAGATTGCCTGTGGAAGCCCTCTTGCTCGTACAGGTCAGTTCACTTCATCAAGTCAGAAGAGTCCCTGCCTGAGAAATGACAGCGGAATACCTTGACGGTAGCAACCATGGACAATAGTAGCAACCACAGCAACGGTGGCAAGCAAATCCATGTCGGAGCAGCCTGAACCCAGTAGATGCTGACAGGCCGGACGTGTTGAAGACTTCTGCGGCATTGGTGGGGATCTCGAACCAGTGTGCCCTTAGGGATAGTGGAAGACTGGCAAGTTTGCTCAAACCATGGAAAGCAAAACACTTGTTACAACATGTTACAACATGTTAACATGTTGTAACACTTAGTGTGTTGTAGTGACAGTGCTTGTCATGGTAAGCCAATGGTAATGTAAACAATGTGAAGCGCCAAACAGCAATGGTGACCCATCCACAACGCCACAACGTGAGGCGGCCCTTGATCACCGCATGACAGGTTTGGGCAGGTGCCTGCAGTGCCTGGACTTGATTCACGGATTGTATCAGGATTCTATTAATGGACCCTGCCAAGTTGTTATCAGGAGGTAATTTGACACATTTTGTACCATTTTGTCATCAGTCCTCATAATGTACTGGAACATACTGGAACCAGTTGACTAGAGTTATAGATTATAGGGGGTCACAGATTGATGGCCCCGGTAAAAGTTGATTCGTATGCCATCAAAATGGAAAAAAACACATCAAAACGAAACGTTTTTTTGCAACACTAAGATGGCGCACAGGGGTCTGTGACACGTATTTCTCGTGACGGTAAAACCATAAATCACACTTAGATGGCATATATATATACATATATATATAGGGTGGCATGTTGTGCCATCTTAGTCGAGAATGAGACCCAGCATGTTTTTACTTCCCCGACATGTTGGAAAAGACCAGTTGTTAAACACGAAGCCGTCCAGGTAAACACGTTTCCCCCAAAACCGGTGGACCGATGGGAAAAAGAAGCTGCTGCTGCCCAATGTGTTTTTTCAACACTAAGATGGCAGAAGTTCGATTTCTTTGAATTGATCGTAGCGATTCTGCTATTCATATTGGGGCAGGCACGCTAAGATGGCACATTAGGGGCAACCCACCCATTCAAGTGCCATCAAATATTTTTTTGACATTCGCTGGAAATGCCATCTTATTTTGCGCAGTGAAGATGCCATCTATTCGTGATCCGGTATACATTGCTGTTTGACTTGAAACTAGAGAATATCTTCATATTGAAGATTGTTGCAGATGGCTTCCACTTTAATCTGAAGCATCCAACTTCCTGGTGCATCGCAGGTCCGCCAATTCACCCTCAGGCTTGCAAGGGCAAGGAACAGGATGGTCTCTTTAGAAAGTTCACTTGAACTTGAATTATTGTCAACAGGTACATCATTCTACATCAGAACGATACAGTGACAATTTTATACAATTTCATTTTCATTTGGATGTTTTGCAGATTAACATGTTCCATGCTTCTAGACGGTCCTGGTCCGGCAGCTGCGATGATTCACTGGTCCTGGATTGGTGCCGAAGCTGCCAGGGAGGCCTGGTCGGTTGTCAACCGCAGTGCAACGGATACAACGCATGCAGTGAGGGAACCCAGCCATGCCCAGCCATGCATTCGGGGTACAGGTAGCTTAGAGGAACCGAAATGAAGGGAGTTTGGAGCTTTGAGCCCGGCAAAACCATAGACCCAATAGATCCCAACAAAATCTGTAGCACAACGCACAAGCAAGAATCAGCCAGCCAGTTTTCTCCGTATGTCCGTGAATGAGGCAAGGCAATTGGCAGAAGGTCGTTGAAATGGAAGAGGCAACGGCGAAACTGTACGAAGTTGTATTGTAGCATAGCACATTCTGGCCGAGTGGGTTTTATTGGTTCCTTTTTTTCTATTCTTTGGAGTTAGAGTCTACCGAATCTACCGCGGCGCATGTCGTTTCGATTTCAGTGAGCCAGCTCTCTGAACAGTACCGTAGCTGCTTCGGACTTTCCAACAGGCCAGAAAGAACCAAGTGCTTCTGAATCAGCTGCCTGAGACGAAGCCCATGAGGTTCGGTACCCTGAACAACTTGGGCTAAGTGTTGAGCTTGCAGAAATGATGCCAGATGAATCCCTAGGGGCCCTAGGGCGTGGATGCTTGTTAACTGGTCAAGACATGACAAGACTGAGTGACGATATGTGACGATAGTGACGGATCTGCGGCTGTTCTTTGAGTCCCCAGGCAGCCACCGCCTCTAAAGGCAGCGGAGAAGTTGAAGCGCTTGTCCTCTGCGGCGAGGAGGTTCACGACAGGTGACCGCCCGGTGACCGCTGCACCACGCCTGCCACGCCGTCAGGTGGGTCGCTTCACCCAGCGCATCAATGTCTGGACCTTACATGACCTTACTGTGACAGTGCTTCTACAAATGGGATCTACAAAAACATTTTATTGCCATGAAATTTTGATGCCAAACCACAACAAATCAATTTGATACCATTTGATATCACAGTTTTTGTTGGCCAATTTATTGGAGCTGGCTTTGTAGAGGATAAATTGATATAAATTGGTGATTGGTTATACCGCGTCTTGGCACAGATGGTTGTCTAAAAACTTTTGTTTTTTTCGATCATTTTTTTCGATTTTAGATCTTTTTTGTGGTTTTCCCCTATTTGTATATATGGTCCCATTGTATCCATTATATATGTATTTTCCCATTATCCCATTATTTGACTGGCGTGTCCATTGGACAATTTAGCCACCCAAATTGCCCAAATCCTATAAAATCCAATCGTGGGGTTTTCACCATCATTTCACCATCATTTCATCATCATTTCCCCACTACAAGTAGGATCTTCACCCCAAAATCTCCCTATGAAGATCAAGCGCATCATTTTTCCGCAGATCCACCTCTGAGCCCGTTGGCCGTATGTCGCTGGCGGCCTCTCCGCCATCCACCGCCCTGGTGGCGGCAGCGCCGCGGTGCGTGGCCCAGGGCGGCGTTGCGGGGGATGTTTGGGCATTTTCTATGCTATTCCCATCATTTCCCATCTATTTAACCGATGTAACTTGAACCAATAGCTAATATGAATATGTCGTTTGTTTACCACCAATTAATTCATGTTTTTGTTTGAGATTTAAAACTGCTTTAAGATTGTTTCTGGTGTTATCCCCCAACGGTCGCGTGAGCTTCCAATAGGTAATATTTCACCACCCTACATTTTCCATTCGATTTGTGTCAGGAAACACTTGCATATTGGAACATGTCAAGATGACAATTTGATTCAAGTCTTTGATGAAGAAGTATTTTCGTCAAGCCTTCATTGCATCCTTCCCAAAATAAACAAGAAAAACAGTGACGCACACTTCCGGAATCAGGTTTCATTCCTCCCAAAGTGAAGGCATAACATTCTTGATATGATTGGAGGTTTCAACTTTCGCATCGACCAAGGCGAGACAGCAAATCTTTGCCCCCGATGCATGAGGCTTGATTTGAACGAAGCAGGGTGAAGCCCTTTAATCCGCGCAGTTTAACAGTTTAACCATAGTTTAACAATTACAATGGGAACATATGGCTTAATTCGAGATCCATGCCCTTAACCCAATGTTTCAGATGGTTACGGGAGTTCAATCACAACTCTGGCCCGTGGAGATTGCAATTTCTTTGAGCAGGTATCTCAGTCATTATCTCCAGAGGTCTCACGCTCGGAGGCTGTGTTCCACCTTCATGCCTGCAAGTGACGGCACAGAATTGTCGATTAGTGAATCAATCACGATGTCCACCCTGAAAAAGAATGGAACCACATGGAAACCATCAGAAATCAAGTCATCATTGAAACCCACTGGCTGCCAGGGTGTAATGCTCTACCAACATCGCAGAAGTCCGCTGCCGCGCATGCAGGAGGTTCAGGACATTGCACATTTTGATACATTTTGCACATTGCTTCAGGGATTCAACTGATGGCCGTTGATGGCCGTTGATGGCCGTTGATGGCCGTTGATGGGACTTCTTTTGGTGAGGAGCCTGGAGACCTCCATGGAGAATTGGAGGCGCTGCGAAATTCCAGCCTTGCCATGGAGTCCGTGGAGTCCGTGGAGGCTCCGTGCCCAAACCAAAGGAAGGGAGATGGCTCAACTTGTCAATGTGAAAGCATGCTGGCTTTAGGGCAACCACCGTGACTATAATATCTATAACTGTAACTTATAACATACTTATAACATCTTATAGCCAGTAGGCCAGTAGCAGTACATGAACTTATGAATAATCTCTGAATAATCTCTGATTCTTGAGGTAGAGTGGCCAAGGCAATTGACGGAGCACGGAAGCCTGGAAAAACCCTTCGAAGAAAACCGCGCAGCACTTGCGAATGAATGATTTTGAATGCAAAAATAAAGGGTTCTTGTGGTTTACTAAGTAACCAACTAGTATCATCTAGTATTCATATTTCTGGATTATTCTAGATTTATAGCCTCGTGTCCTCACTGCGACGTCATGGCAATGATGCTTCGTAGGGGCAACGATCTTCAAGTAAATGCCTTGATTCAGGTTGATGATTCATATCATTTATGCAGCATTGTTTTCCAACTTCTTACATAAATGTTTGCGGCATTTGAATCAGAATCCGACATGCCCTAGAGACACAGAAAAACAAGTAGCACCGGTCATTCCGTCATCTCATGCATCTGAAACAACTTGAAACAACTGCACAGTAACAGCCATGTCAGCTATGTAGATGTTAAAGCCAAACATGTTTATATAGTCATTTTTGCACTTAGTTTTGCACTTGCCATGATTTTTGATGTTTTTTTGAATCATGTTTCACAGAAAAAAAGCGACCGGGCCGAGGAGTCTGCTTTCATCTGGATCCGAAAAGGCCGGGCAACTTCTCAACATTTTTCAAGGAACAAGGTCAAACATTGAGTACCCCGGCAAGAGGATTTGTTCAACATTGTTCAACATTGAATGCAAATTGTTCAACATTGTTCATCCATCCATTTATGGTTCGACCAGTTTTGAGTGGCCCAACTTAGATCCCTGAATCTTTTTAAGTCCTGCAGAGAAGTATTGGCTGATGCACTGCAATGCATTGGATCTGTCAGAGGCACCAAGTTCGCGGCAAAGCCTTTCAGAGGAGCGAACTGGGCAGCTTGGGTTGGCACCTCCCTGGAAGGTGTTTCGAAACTGTTTCATCATTTCATCATTTTTTTAAAAATGTTTTCACTCCTAAACTCCTGAAACACATGAGAACCATAAAGAATCGCACATTCAACTCTCTTCACAGGCACTTTTTGCATGTTTTTGATGTCCATTTCCATGCTCTCATTGAAGCATGAAACTGCGAATTGAGCGGAGGGAACTGGGCTGGAGCTTGAGCTTTGCCATATCAATCCATATTATCAAATACCATCAAATACCCATGAAATAATGAAATCCGATGGGCAGGAGCCCCATCGCGACAACTCGTTAAAAGACTTGTTACAGTGTCTTGGCATGGTCAGTGGAGGGAGTCTTTGGCGTCTTTGGCACTGCCTGAGAATGCCGATGCTTTCGGAAAGCTGCGAAGGTTCTGCACACGCTGAGGTTTGAGAAGGAGACCGAGGAGACCCATTTTGATCATTTTGAGACAAGACTGGAGAAGACCCACGCTGTTCCAAAAGAAGCAGTGCACTGGACGCAGGCCATCTCCCCGGGTCCGTGGTGCTTTGCAACCCCCCCTTTCGATCCCTTTCGATCCCTTTCGCCCACAACATTTGCACGAACAAACCGCGAATCAGAAACTTACCGCGAATCAGAAACAAAGAATCAGAAACTAAAAGCCGCGAATCAGAAACTAAAATCCGCGAATCAGAAACCAAAATCCCGCGAATCAGAAACCAAAAATCCCGCGAATCAGAAACTAAAATGCGCGAATCAGAAACAAAACTCCGCGAATCAGAAACTGAGAATCAGAAACTAAAAACTGCGAATCAGAAACTAAAATCCCGCGAATCAGAAACCAAACTCCCGCGAATCAGAAACCAAAATCCCGCGAATCAGAAACCAAAAACAGCGAATCAGAAACCAAAACCAGAAAATCAGAAACTAAAAAACACACGAGAGCAGGTGCGTTTCGACACAGGCAACAGACAGACTGTGACGTTGGGACTCTTCAGACACAGTTGAGTAAACCATATTGTGAACAAGCAGCTTCTGAATACTTGCCACTCCATGAAAGCTGCGACACTCTCAACTTCAACTTCTCTTCTTAAGAAATCAAATCCGCCACCCTCCTCTGGCCACTATGTTGAATAGGATATTACCTTCTACTTCACTTCAAGAGAAATTAAATCCGCCACCCCCTCTGGCCACTATGTTGAATAGGATATTAACTTCAACTTATCTTCATAAGAAATCAAATCCGCCAACCCCTCTCGCCACTATGTTGAATACGATATTACCTTCTACTCCACTTCAAAGGAAATCAAATCCGCCACCCCCTCTGGCCACTCTGTTGAATAGGATATTACCTTCTACTTCACTTCAAAGGCAATCAAATCCGCCACCCCCTCTGGCCACTATGTTGAATAGGATATTGCCTTCTACTTCACTTCATAAGAAATCAAATCCGCCACCCCCTCTGGCCACTATGTTGAATACGATATTACCATCTACTTCACTTCAAAAGAAATCAAATTCGCCACCCCCTCTGGCCACTATGTTGAATAGAATACTACTTTCTACTTCACTTCATAAGAAATCAAACCCGCCACCCCCTCTGGCCACTATGCTACATAGGATATTAACTTCAACATATTTTCTTAAGAAATCAAATCCGCCACCCTCCTCTGGCCACTATGTTGAATAGGATATTACCTTCTACTTCACTTCAAAAGAAATTAAATTCGCCACCCCCTCTGGCCACTATGTTGAATACGATATTAACTTCAACTTATCTTCATAAGAAATCAAATCCGCCACCCCCTTTGGCCACTATGTTGAATACGGTAGTACCTTCTACTTCACTTCAAAGGAAATCAAATCCGCCACCCCCTCTGGCCACTCTGTTGAATAGGATATTACCTTCTACTTCACTTCAAAGGAAATCAAATCCGCCACCCCCTCTGGCCACTATGTTGAATAGGATATTACCTTCTACCTCACTTCATAAGAAATCAAATCCGCCACCCCTTCTGGCCACTATGCTGAAGAGGATATTAACTTCCTTTTATCTTCATAAGAAATCAAATCCGCTGCCACTATGTTGAATAGGATATTACCTTCTACGTCACTTCAAAGGAAATCAAATCCGCAACCCCCTCTGGCCACTATGTTGAATAGGATATTACCTTCTACTTCACTTCAAAAGAAATCAAATCCGCCACCCCCTCTGGCCACTATGTTGAATAGAATACTACTTTCTACTTCACTTCATAAGAAATCAAACCCGCCACCCCCTCTGGCCACTATGCTACATAAGATATTAACTTCAACATATCTTCATAAGAAATCAAATCCGCCACGCCCTCTGGCCACTACGCTACATAGGTTATTAACTTCAACTTATCTTCATACATACGAAATCAAACCCGCCACCCCCTCTGGCCACTATGTTGAATAGGATATTAACGTCAACTTATCTTCATAAGAAAGCAAATCCGCCACCCCCTCTGGCCACTATGTTGAATAGGATATTACCTTCTACGTCACTTCAAAGGAAATCAAATCCGCAACCCCCTCTGGCCACTATGTTGAATAGGATATTACCTTCTACTTCACTTCAAAAGAAATCAAATCCGCCACCCCCTCTGGCCACTATGTTGAATAGAATACTACTTTCTACTTCACTTCATAAGAAATCAAATCCGCCACCCCCTCTGGCCACTATGCTACATAGGATATTAACTTCACTGTATCTTCTTAAGAAATCAAATCCGCCATCCCCTCTGGCCACTATGCTACATAGGTTATTAACTTCAACTTATCTTCATATGAAATCAAACCCGCCACCCCCTCTGGCCACTATGTTGAATAGGATATTAACGTCAACTTATCTTCATACGAAAGCAAATCCGCCACCCCCTCTGGCCACTATGTTGAATAGGATATTACCTTCTACTTCACCTCAAAAGAAATCAAATCCGCCACCCCCTCTGGCCACTATGTTGAGTAGCATGTTACCTTCTACTTCGCTTCAAAGGAAATCAAATCCGCCACCTCCTCTGGCCACTATGTTGAATAGGATAGTAACTTCAACTTATCTTCATAAGAAATGAAATCCGCCACCCCCTCTGGCCACTATGTTGAATACGATATTACCATCTACTTCACTTCAAAGGAAATGAAATCCGCCACCCCCTCTGGCCACTATGTTGAATAGGATTTTACCTTCTACTTCACTCCAAAGGAAATCAAATCCGCCACCCTCTGGCCACTATGTTGAATAGGATATTACCTTCTACTTCACTTCAAAAGAAATCAAATCCGCCACCCCCTCTGGCCACTATCTTGAATAGGATATTACCCTCTACTTCACTTCATAAGAAATCTAATCCGCCACCCCCTCTGGCCACTATGCTACATAGGATATTAACTTCACTGTATCTTCTTAAGAAATCAAATCCGCCATCATAAGAAATCAAATCCGCCACCCCCTCTGGCCGCTATGCTACATAGGATATTAGCTTCAACTTATCTTCATATGAAATCAAATCCGCCACCCCCTCTGGCCACTATGTTGAGTAGGATATTACCCTCTACTTCACTTCATAAGAAATCAAATCCGCCACCCCCTCTGGCCACTATGTTGAATAGGATATTACCTTCTACTTCATTTTAAAAGAAATCAAATCCGCCACCCTCCTCTGGCCACTATGTTGAATAGGATATTACCTTCTACTTCACTTCAAAGGAAATTATCCGCCACCCCCTCTGGCCACTATGTTGAATAGGATATTAACTTCAACTTATCTTCATAAGACATCAAATCCGCCACCCCCTCTGGCCACTATGCTCAATAGGATATTACCCTCTACTTCACTTCATAAGAAATCAAATCCGCCAACCCCGTCTGGCCACTATGCTACATAGGATATTAACTTCAACTTATCTTCTTAAGAAATCAAATCCACCATCATAAGAAATCAAATCCGCCCCCCCCCCTCTGGCCGCTACGCTACATAGGATATTCGCTTCAACTTATCTTCATATGAAATCAAATCCGCCACCCCCTCTGGCCACTATGTTGAGTAGGATATTACCCTCTACTTCACTTCAAAGGAAATGAAATCCGCCACCCCCTCTGGCCACTATGTTGAATAGGATATTACCTTCTACTTCACTCCAAAGGAAATCAAATCCGCCACCCCCTCTGGCCACTATGTTGAATAGGATATTACCTTCTACTTCACTTCAAAAGAAATCAAATCCGCCACCCTCCTCTGGCCACTATGTTGAATAGGATATTACCTTCTACTTCACTTCAAAGGAAATTATCCGCCACCCCCTCTGGCCACTATGTTGAATAGGATGTTAACTTCAACTTATCTTCATAAGACATCAAATCCGCCACCCCCTCTGGCCACTATGCTCAATAGGATATTACCCGCCAATTCACTTCATAAGAAATCAAATCCGCCAACCCCGTCTGGCGACTGTGTTACATAGGATAGCACCTACAACTTATCTTCATACGAAATCACATCCTCCTTTGACATTCATCTTACCTTCGGACTGATTTCACTCCCATGATTTGCCGTGGTCTGATCCCAATTAAAGAGAACCCATGCAATCCACCCCATTGGAAGAAGACAAGTTGCCCATTAGGATTGATGAACAGGTTTTAGTTTCCGATTCTTTTGGTTTCCGATTAACAGGTTTTAGTTTCCGATTCACCTGCTTTAGTTTACGATTCAGCTTTGGTTCCCGATTCCGGGTTTTTGGTTTCCGATTCAAGGGTTTTAGTTTCCGATTCACGGGTTTTAGTTTCCGATTATTTTAGTTTCCGATTAACAGGTTTTAGTTTCCGATTAACGGGTTTTAGTTTCCGATTAACGGGTTTTAGTTTCCGATTAACGGGTTTTAGTTTCCGATTAATGGCTTGACCACATTTGCACGGGTTTCCACATTGACGTCGGCGTCTTTTGCAAACGGAGGGGTCTGCCCGCATGTGGTTGCTGTGGAAGAGATGATTTTAATATAATAGTTAATCAATGTTAATCATGACCTTGTTAGTGGATTTAGTTGATGGCTCCAGAACATTTCAAGAAACATGGTTTGTTTTTTTGGGGGACAGGTTGAAACTTGGTTGCCGTGCCGGCTTGATCTGCGCGGTGGCCAGGGCGTGCCCTATGCATTGCGTTCAAAGGAAGCCTGAACCTTAAGGCCGAGGCCAAGCAGGCGAAGACAATACCCCTGTGTGGTGTGAATCGGTGTGAATGATGATGAATCCGACGAATCCATTATGCATTTCCAAGAAATAGGAGTTGCGACACTTTTGAATCATCCTTGCGAGAGCTGAAGTTTCAACCGGTCAGGTGTTTCGCCTTTCCATTTATTAACAACCTGTGCGGTACGTGGCGCCCAGTTTCGCGACCAGTTTTGCCGGCCCCAAGGCAAAGGATGCAAAGGCGGGCAACGGCTTGTTCACCTCTCCGGCCAAGCCGCTGAAGGTGCGCCTGAAGGAATTGGATGGGGATGGAATGGGGATGGAATGGGGATGGAATGGGGATGGAATGGGGATGAATTCTGATGAATTGGGAGGTATTTTACCATATTTTAATATATTTTACCCATTTTTAGCCCAAGCGGTTTGGTGACCAAAAGCTGTTGAGAGGCCAATTTGCCACTAGGATTTTCCAACGCCAAGGCACTAGGATTGTTGCAAGCGGAATTCTGCGAAGTTACGGCCAGTCATGACTTGCAATGAGACTTGGTGTGTTGCCAGGTGAACAACAAAGAGAAATGGATGCCCAAGGCGGAGACAACTGACAGAAAAGACCTGAAAGGACGGTAGTAGACGGTAGTCAATCGAGTCAAGAGATTGAACTGTTGCGAAAAATAACCACATTATGCAGCAAGTATTGCATGTATGCATCTTATTGCATCTTTGCTTATCCTATTTGTGATCAAGAACAACTTTACCCTTGCTCGATGTCTCGATGTCTCAGGCATCTCTGAGTTCTAAAGATGTTTTCAACATGCTTACTTCCTTGATGTAGGTTCAAGGTCAAAACTGGTCTTTGACAAAGCATGTCTGAGGAATATTCTGCAATGAATTTCGTGCGGAGACCATTGGTTCCAATACTTTGAAGTCTTCACCCAGTGTCCGCAGTAATACTGCTGATCTGACCTGGCCAGGTTTCTTTGGGTGGTTTCAGCAACCTAGACACGCCGAGTTTGATCTCAGGCTTGTGGATTCACAGTGAATTTCTGTGCGAATGATAGCAAATGTATTAGTATTGTGTATATTATATATTGTGCTTTCTTTTGTACCCTTTCATGATTGTTTATGATTGTCCATCATGTTCCCATCTAAGGGTGGTACCCTTGCATCGCACCATCCTGGACGTTTCTTCAGGCTTCTTCAAGGTGGTAAGATGTGAGCCGCATGCAGGCCATCTTGACCGCTTCCAAGAGGAGTTCGAAGCTGCACGGTCATCAACTGATTAGTGCTGAACGAGACTTGGGCAGGGATCCTCTGGGTTTCAGCTGTCGACCTTTCACGAGAAAGCAAAAATGTGACAGCATCTTGTGATCTAAGCGGAGCACGTTCATATTACCCTTATATGTGAATCACTAAGAATCCCGTCCCGTAATGGGCTGCACATGAATTTGCGGATGTGCCATTGTTTGTTCTGGAATGCGTTTTGTTCTGGTTGAATGCGTTTTCTACCCTTTCAACAGAACATGCAAAACTTCTCTGTCCATTCTCAGGCCTCATTTGAGCTTAGTGTGAAGCGGACTGCACTTCCGTTTCCAAACGTTGCTGCCCGCAAAAATACTAGCGAGGCGCAACTTGTACAAAAGTGACCTGATAATCCCCACCTAGATTCAGTTTGTCTGAACATGGTCGATGGACACTCGATGAATTTTGATGATATGAGACAACAAACATTGCAGACTTGAGGAATCACATTTTACATAACAGCCGTTGGTGTCATTTGATGCGTTCACTCATATATCTCATATAGAAAGTCCATCGTTTGCAAATGAACCCCCGCCGTAGTCACACTTTTTAAAGGTCGGCAAGATCAGCTTTCAGCTTGCAGGCCAGATGACTTCGGCACATAGATGTGGGCATTTGGCTGGATATTGTCAATGGGATGTGCACGGATAATATATGATAATATATTATAATATGCCTTTCAAAGGATAAACATTGTAAATTGTAGGGAAATTTCTTCATCAATGGATTTTAGATGATTCTAGGGTACCCTGCTTTCGCACAAACCCAGAATGGTATCAGCACTCTTTTTGCATTTGTCAGAAGCTCATAGACCAGCAAATGTGAGTCAAACGCCCTGACTATGTGTCAAGCTCTTGTGACAGCTTTGCTGCCATTTGGCTGCCATCAACAAAAAGGACTTGCACAAGACTTGTTCGGGGCAACTTCTATGCTGCTCTTGATGCCGGATTGTAAATCCGTACACCTTCCCACACCTTTGTGCATCTTCGTACATCCTCAATCATCTTCAAGAGTGAGTCGTTGCGCCATCCAGGATCCAGGCTGAATTTCGCGATCGCAACTTAGCCTCAAGCACAAACATCACCTGTCAATGCACCTTGGGAATCCTTGGGAATCCTTGGGACATCTGACATTTAAAACCTCAAGGAATATGCGAAAACAGCCGGCAGCATTCTGCAGCACAGAGTCCACTAGGAGCCTTTGACCAAAACCTTGTGGCCGGGAACCTGGTTGAATAGCCCGGGTTTTCAATGGAGGCATTGTTCCAAGAGGTTCCCGGATCGGGCTATTTGGTTTTGCAGGGATTCATACATGTCCCCATGCTTCTATCTTGGTTAATCCTCCCAGGTTTATCGTATGATACTGATTGATATTGTATCATATATCAACCCTCATGCTTATCAACCTTCATGCTGATAATGTTGGAAACCACTTCTCTTGGGAGGCAGCAACAAAGCAGTTCTGTGGCTATTAGTGTTTGTTGTCTTTGAAAATGCAACTAACCCTTGGGAGTCCCAGAGAGGGATGGTCGTTGATCGTCTTGGGCCTGTGTGAACTTGATACTCCAACCGAACTCCAACCAAGTTGGAAAGCCCGTTGCTTTCCTTACACAGACTAGGGTGCCTATCCTGTGCAGCATTTCGCTGAAATGAATTGGTTTGCGTCCTTTCCTGGATACCTATTCTGTCAGACTGTCAGACAGGAGTAAAAACCATCAGTTGGTCCACAGAAGGGAAGTGCAGGTAATGTTACCAGTTACCAGTAGTAACTCAGTAGATAAATTATATAGATACTGAGTCACTATCCTCAGTATCATCATCAGTTTGGATGTCCGAGGCCATTCCGTCACTAAGTGACTGGTCACCATGGGACCAAAACGCCCGGAAACTCAGAGCAGATGGGCAGAAACCAAGGGGGGAACAGTGATCGATAGTTATCAAGAAGTTTGTTTGAAAACAGGGTTCCCCAGGGTTCCCCTAAAACCCAACGGATAATATGGATATTCATTTTCCTCATTTTCCCTATTGTAATGGCCATTTGGAGGTATACCGTATACCGGTATACAGCATTTTTGGAACTGCTCCTGATGGATTCAGTCTAGACAAGTAGTGCCATGCCCTGCTTTGTTGATCAAGCGTTGAGGTGAAGAGGAAATGATTGCTATTACTCTGAAGCTTGTTACTCACGAAGAGCAGTGGGGCTGGCATCTTTGAAAAATGCCTCGGGTTTCAAGAAGGGATGAGATGTTCAGGACTCCAACCAAAGAGCAAAGAGCCAAGCGTTTTTGTCAATCGGCTTTCCACCTTAGACCCTGGGAAAGGTCAGGATGTCTGAACGCATGCCAGGCAGCTTCAGGCATTGCCAGAACAAAAACTAGGGTAGGGTAGGCCATAACATTCTTCTCAGGCTGCAAACCGGTGTGTTCATACCTGGACCTGTGCTTCACTAGAGCAATACTCCTTTCAGCCAGGCAAAACTTGAAAGTGAAGATGCCAAAGGGTGTCAAGATGAGCAAGGTGAAGGTGCCCTGGCGATGGTTTTGAGCACTCGGAATGCAGTAAGTTCCACTTAGCGCTTGATACAGAGAAGGCACTGAGAAGCTTTAAACCTCCAGAAACTGTAGCAGCTCGGTCGGCCTTTTTCTCCTTTGAACAACTGATGTATGTCATATGAGTCACATAGCCTATAAGCTTGTTGGTGCAAGGGCGGGCTTTCATTCATGGACTGAAGCTTGCATGCAAACTCCAATTTCAGCGATGTCAAAAGACTTTTTGAACACGTGCATCTGGTCAGGAAAGAGTGGAAGCAGAGTCGATGACTCAGTGACTTCATATTTGGCTTTGGTGCGGTGGTTCAGCCTTTGAGGCCCTGGTACTTAACCGTGTCAGGTTCGACATTCCCACAGAAGAGCAGATTATTCTCTTCCGGGGCAAGTACATTGCGAAGCGCCAGAGCCTCAAATGTCGAGGGAAAGTAATGAATTCTGCAAGATGCACAATGTGCAGACATGCAGTCAGCTTTGTTGGCCTGCAATGACTCACGTGGTGTTCATTCACACTTTTCAACCCGCATCGGTTCTGCAGAGGCTACATGACTCAGAAGGAGAATGCGTTTCAACCTCTCAACATGCCAGACTTGGAAGAAATTGTGAGTGAAGCTGGAGAAGATGGTCTGCAAATGTTTCTTGGATGTTCAAAGCTTTAAGCCCTGCTGAGTCAAACTTATAGATGAATCAAGGATCCACATGGTGCATGTCAGTGGTGAAAGTCTTAGGACAGTGATCCACCATCCTTTCCGCCTGGAGAATTTCATGAAGGAGGTGGGATGAATCGATGAAGGATTTCCGGCTGCAGATGTCACTCATCTCCGAGCCTCGAGCCTGGCATTCCAGGAGGAAGTGGAAGAGGGAGACTCCGATGTAAAGCTGAGGACTGCTGACGGAAAGGGTCTACAGATGTCTACTTTTTTTTACACTGGTAGATACTTGTAGAAAACGATCTGTAGGATGTTTGACTAGCGGCGAACTGCTGGAAATTCCCCAAGTTTAGAAGCCGGGTATTGCACTGATAATGAATGATATCATAATCCCATGAAATCCCCTTCCTCCCTGGCCCCAAACATGGGTGCAACATGGTGCACCCATCAACTCTTTGTGCTGCTTCAGATCCTGCAGGCAGTCAGGTGCCAGCTTGCTACACCGTGCAGTACGACGTTGTGAGATTAGTGTGGTCCAGGAGCTGCTGGTCAAGGAGGTGCCTGCAGAGTGTATTTCTATCAACGAGATCTAAGTCAAGTTGAAGGAAATCTTGGGTACACAAACTCTCATTGTTCTTGAGAAAGACGATCTTTGCGGGTTCTCTTATGTTCTCTTTCACTTTGTTTTCAATGCAAACTCCTTCAAAACGGCAACGAAGCAAAGTGCATCAGCACCGGTGAAGCCCCGTGGAGGCTTTCACTCGCGCTAACGCACGTGACCGCGCTGGGCAAACCGCTTTGCACGCAGCGTGCCTTGCCAAAGGGTCGATGCGTGGCTTTTCTATTCGCTGATATCGTTTGTGGCATGAAGAATTCAACATCCTTTGGCAATCAATGAACTATTGGATATGGGAGTATGGGATATGATTAAAATGGTTTAAATATCAGCTACTTAGTATATTAGCTATATATATGTTAGAATATTATATAGCATTATATAGCTATATATATATACACATACATTAGCTATATATTTGTTATAGTTATATTTTTTCTTTTTGATGCTGGATTTTGTGGATGATATCATGACATGCTCGGTTTTGGTCGTGGCAGAGCATCCAAGCCATGAGTTTTTTGCCGCCCAAAGGTGCACCGCTTGGCAGCGAGCAGCCTGGCGGAGAAGTGCAGGGGATATCAATATTGACATGATGATAGCATATCCTAAAAGATGCATTTTTATGCATGTTTCCTAATGTTGGATGTGGATGTGGATGATGATGATGATGATGATGATCCTGATCCGTTTTTTCGGCAGGCGTGACATTTGCAGGGACACCTCCTGAACTTAGGAGAGCGCGCAGATCATCCTAGATTCAGACAAATTTGAAGCTGTCTACAAAAAGGCACGGAATGCTAGCATTTGCTGGACAGTGTGACAAGATCGTCAAGAATAAGCAGCTTTCAACAGCATTCAACAGCTTTCAACAGCTTCAAGATGCTTCAAGTGTTGCATAGTCTTGCTGTCCACTGAGCAACTGATCACAGAAGCCGCAACTGGAAGTGTTTCGCTGCAGGACATGGATGGTCGGACGGCCCTGCACTATGTGGCCTGTTGGGGGGACTTGGAGGTCGCAAAGTCGATCCTAGCGCCGGGCACTGAGACCAAGATATTGTTCGATGCTGAGGGAATCGGCAATCACTCACTGATTGAATTATACCTTTATACCTTTAATATAATTACACCGGCATAGACCCCAGATAGAAAAGGTTGGAACTGATGGTTCCCAACGTGGGAACCAAAGGTTACCATGGCAAGGAACTGCCGGTTCCCAGACCTTGAAACTTACGGTTCCCAACCTGGGAACCAGAGGTTACCATTGCAAGGAATTGCCGGTTCCCAGAAGTTAGAATTTATGTTTTCGAAGCTAAGCAACTATCATTGTAAGGAACTGCGGATTCCCAAAGTTTGAAACTCATGGTTCCAAACCTGAAAAAGCATACGTTACCAGTGGAAGGATCTGTTGATTCCAAAAAGATAAAAATCATGGTTCTTAATGTTGTTTTGTTTTGTTTACTGAGCCGGTAACAGAACCTTTTGTTTTGCTTAATGGACCGGTAGCGGAATGTTTGCGTTCGGCTGCTGGGCCGGCATAAAAATGTTGTTGCACGAAAAAGGTGCATGTTAAAATGATATGAAAACAGTTTCTTTACAATTTTTTGGTTTTGCTATGTTTTGCTTAATGAACCGGTAAAGAACGCTTTGTTTTGCTTAATGGACCGGTACCGGAATGTTTGCGTTTGGTTCATGGCAAGGAACTGCCGGTTCCCAAAGGTTGGAACTCACTGTTGCCAACGTGGGAACCACAGGTTACCATTGCAAGGAACTGCCGGTTCCCACAAGTTAGAAGTCATGGTTCCCAACCTGGGAACCAGAGGTTACCATTGCAAGCAACTGCCGGTTCCCAGAGGTTGGAACTCATGCTTCCCAACCTGGGAACCATAGGTTACCATTGCAAAGAACTTCCAATTCCTAAAGGTTGGAACTGATGGTTCCCAACGTGGGAACCAAAGGTTACCATGGCAAGGAACTGCCGGTTCCCAGACCTTGTGAAACTTACGGTTCCCAACCTGGGAACCAGAGGTTACCATTGCAAGGAATTGCCGGTTCCCAGAAGTTAGAATTTATGTTTTCGAAGCTAAGCGGCTATCATTGTAAGGAACTGCGGGTTCCCAAAGCTTGAAACTCATGGTTCCAAGCCTGAAAAAGTATTGTTACCAGTGGAAGGATCTGTTGATTGCAAAAAGTTAGAACTCATGGTTCTTAATGTTGGTTTTGTTTTGTTTACTGAGCCGGTAACAGAACCTTTTGTTTTGCTTAATGGACCGGTAGCGGAATGTTTGCGTTTGGCTGTTGGGCCGGAATAAAAATGTATTTTGCACGAAAAAGGTGCATGTCAAAATGATATGAAAACAGTTTCTTTACAATTTTTTGGTTTTGCTTAATGGACCGGTACAGAACGCTTTGTTTTGCTTAATGGACCAGTACCGGAATGTTTGCGTTTGGTTCATGGCAAGGAACTGCCGGTTCCCAAAGGTTGGAACTCACGGTTGCCAACGTGGGAACCACAGGTTACCATTGCAAGGAACTGCCGATTCCCACAGGTTAGAAGTCATGGTTCCCGACCTGGGAACCAGAGGTTACCATTGCAAGCAACTGCCGGTTACCAGAGGTTGGAACTCATGCTTCCCAACCTGGGAACCATAGGTTACCATTGCAAAGAACTTCCAATTCCTAAAGGTTGGAACTGATGGTTCCCAACGTGGGAACCAAAGGTTACCATGGCAAGGAACTGCCGGTTCCCAGACCTTAAAACTTACGGTTCCCAACGTGGGAACCACAGGTTACCATTGCAAGGAACTGCCGGTTCCCAGACGTTGGAACTACTGGTTCCCAACCTGGGAACCATGGGCTATCATTGCAAGCAACTGCCGGTTACCAGAGGTTGGAACTCATGCTTCCCAACCTGGGAACCATAGGTTACCATTGCAAAGAACTTCTAATTCCTAAAGGTTGGAACTGATGGTTCCCAACGTGGGAACCAAAGGTTACCATGGCAAGGAACTGCCGGTTCCCAGACCTTGAAACTTACGGTTCCCAACCTGGGAACCAGAGGTTACCATTGCAAGGAATTGCCGGTTCCCAGAAGTTAGAATTTATGTTTTCGAAGCTAAGTAACTATCATTGTAAGGAATTGCCGGTTGCGAAAGCTTGAAACTCATGGATCGAAACCTGAAAAAGCATACGTTACCAGTGGAAGGATCTCTTGATTCCAAAAAGTTAAAACTCATGGTTCTTAATGTTGTTTTGTTTTGTTTACTGGGCCGGTAACAGAACCTTTTGTTTTGCTTAATGGACCGGTAGCGAATGTTTGCGTTCGGCTGCTGGGCCGGCATAAAAATGTTTTTGCACGAAAAAGGTGCATGTTAAAATGATATGAAAACAGTTTCTTTACAATTTTTTGGTTTTGCTTCATGGACCGGTAAAGAACGCTTTGTTTTGCTTAATGGACCGGTACCAGAATGTTTGCGTTTGGTTCATGGCAAGGAACTGCCGGTTCCCAAAGGTTGGAACTCACTGTTGCCAACGTGGGAACCACAGGTTACCATTGCAAGGAACTGCCGGTTCCCAGAGGTTGGAACTCACGGTTGCCAACATGGGAACCACAGGTTACCATTGCAAGCAACTGCCGGTTCCCACCTGGGAACCACAGGTTACCATTGCAAAGAACTTCCAGTTCCTAAAGGTTGGAACTGATGGTTCCCAACGTGGGAACCAAAGGTTATCATGGCAAGGAACTGCCGGTTCCCAGACCTTGAAACTTACGGTTCCTAACCTGGGAACCAGAGGTTACTATTGCAAGGAATTGCCGGTTCCCAGAAGTTAGAATTTATGTTTTCGAAGCCAAGCCGCTTTCATTGTAAGGAACTGCGGGTTCCCAAAGCTTGAAACTCATGGTTCCAAGATGTTCCAAGCCTGAAAAAGCATACGTTACCAGTGGAAATATGTGTTCATTGCAAAAAGTTTGAACTCATGGTTCTTAATGTTGTTTTGTTTTGTTTACTGAGCCGGTAACAGAACCTTTTGTTTTGCTTAATGGACCGGTAGCGGAATGTTTGCGTTTGGTTCATGGCAAGGAAGTGCCGGTTCCCAGAGGTTGGAACTCCTGGTTCCCAACCTGGGAACCATGGGTTACCATTGCAAGCAACTGCCGGTTACCAGAGGTTGGAACTCATGCTCCCCAACCTGGGAACCATAGGTTACCATTGCAAAGAACTTCCGTTTCCTAAAGGTTGGAACTGATGGTTCCCAACGTGGGAACCAAAGGTTACCATAGCAAGGGACTGCCGGTTCCCAGACCTTGAAACTTACGGTTCCCAACCTGGGAACCAGAGGTTACCATTGCAAGGAATTGCCGGTCCCCAGAAGTTAGAATTTATGTTTTCGAAGCTAAGCAACTATCATTGTAAGGAACTGCGGATTCCCAAAGTTTGAAACTCATGGATCGAAACCTGAAAAAGCATACGTTACCAGTGGAAGGATCTGTTGATTCCAAAAAGATAAAAATCATGGTTCTTAATGTTGTTTTGTTTTGTTTACTGAGCCGGTAACAGAACCTTTTGTTTTGCTTAATGGACCGGTAGCGGAATGTTTGCGTTCGGCTGCTGGGCCGGCATAAAAATGTTTTTGCACGAAAAAGGTGCATGTTAAAATGATATGAAAACAGTTTCTTTACAATTTTTTGGTTTTGCTTCATGGACCGGTAAAGAACGCTTTGTTTTGCTTAATGGACCGGTACCGGAATGTTTGCGTTTGGTTCATGGCAAGGAACTGCCGGTTCCCAAAGGTTGGAACTCACTGTTGCCAACGTAACTGCCGGTTCCCAGAGGTTGGAACTCATGGTTCCCAACCAGGGAACCAGAGGTTACCATTGCAAAGAACTTCTAATTCCTAAAGGTTGGAACTGATGGTCCCCAACGTGCGAACCAAAGGTTACCATGGCAAGGAACTGCCGGCTCCCAGACCTTGAAACTTACGGTTCCCAACCTGGGGAACCAGAGGTTACTATTGCAAGGAAGTGCCGGTTCCCAGAAGTTAGAATGTATGTTTTCGAAGCTAAGCGGCTATCATTGTAAGGAACTGCGGGTTCCCAAAGCTTGAAACTCATGGTTCCAAGCCTGAAAAAGTAACGTTACCAGTGGAAAGATCTGTTGATTGCAAAAAGTTAGAACTCATGGTTCTTAATGTTGTTTTGTTTTGTTTTGTTTACTGAGGCGGTAACAGAACCTTTTGTTTTGCTTAATGGACCGGTAGCGGAATGTTTGCGTTTGGCTGTTGGGCCGGCATAAAAATGTTTTTGCACGAAAAAGGTGCATGTTAAAATGATATGAAAACAGTTTCTTTACAACTTTTTGGTTTTGCTTAATGGACCGGTAAAGAACGCTTTGTTTTGCTTAATGGACCGGTACCGGAATGTTTGCGTTTGGTTCATGGCAAGGAACTGCCGGTTTCCAAAGGTTGGAACTCACGGTTGCCAACGTGGGAACCACAGGTTACCATTGCAAGGAACTGCCGATTCCCACAGGTTAGAAGTCATGGTTCCCAACCTGGGAACCAGAGGTTACCATTGCAAGCAACTGCCGGTTCCCAGAGGTTGGAACTCATGCTTCCCAACCTGGGAACCATAGGTTACCATTGCAAAGAACTTCCAATTCCTAAAGGTTGGAACTGATTTTTCCATTTTTCCCAACGTGGGAACCAAAGTTACCATGGAAAGGCACTGCCGGTTCCCAGACCTTGAAACTTTGGGTTCCCAACCTGGGAACCAGAGGTTACCATTGCAAGGAATTGCCTGTTCCCAGAAGTTAGGATTTATGTTTTTGAAGCTAAGCGGCTATCATTGTAAGGAACTGCGGGTTCCCACAGCTTGAACCTCATGGTTCCAAGCCTGACAAAGTAACGTTGCCAGTGGAAGGATCTGTTGATTGCAAAAAGTTAGAACTCATGGTTCTTAATGTTGTTTTGTTTTGTTTACTGAGCCGGTAACAGAACCTTTTGTTTTGCTTAATGGACCGGTAGCGGAATGTTTGCGTTCGGCTGCTGGGCCGGCATAAAAATGTTTTTGCACGAAAAAGGTGCATGTTAAAATGATATGAAAACAGTTTCTTTACAATTTTTTGGTTTTGCTTAATGGACCGGTAAAGAATGCTTTGTTTTGCTTAATGGACCGGTACCGGAATGTTTGCGTTTGGTTCATGGCAAGGAACTGCCGGTTCCCAAAGGTTGGAACTCACGGTTGCCAACGTGGGAACCACAGGTTACCATTGCAAGGAACTGCCGGTCTCAGAGGTTGGAACTCCTGGTTCACAACCTGGGAACCATGGGTTACCATTGCAAGCAACAGCCGGTTCCCAAAGGTTGGAACTGATAGTTCCCAACCTGGGAACTATAGGTTACCATTGCAAAAAACTTCCAGTCTTAAAGGTTGGAACTGATGGTTCCCAACGTGGGAACCAAAGGTTACCATGGCAAGGAACTGCCGGTTCCCAGACCTTGAAACTTACGGTTCCCAACCTGGGAACCAGAGGTTTCCATTGCAAGGAAGTGCCGGTTCCCAGAAGTTAGAATTTATGTTTTCGAAGCTGAGCGGCTATCATTGTAAGGAACTGCGGGTTCCCAAAGCTTGAAACTCATGGTTCCAAACCTGAAAAAGCATACGTTACCAGTGGAAGGATCTGTTGATTCCAAAAAGTTAAAACTCATGGTTCTTAATGTTGTTCTGTTTTATTTACTGAGCCGGTAACATAACCTTCTGTTTTGCTTAATGGACCGGTAGCGGAATGTTTGCGTTTGGCTGCTGGGCCGGCATAAAAATGTTTTTGCACGAAAAAGGTGTATGTTAAAATGATATGAAAACAGTTTCTTTACAACTTTATGGTTTTGCTTAATGGACCGGTACAGAACGCTTTGTTTTGCTTAATGGACCGGTACCGGAATGTTTGCGTTTGGTTCATGGCAAGGAACTGCCGCCTCACAAAGGTTCAAAAAGGTGCATGTCAAAATGATATGCGGCAACCAAAAAGCGCGTTGGCTCAGAACACCCTTTGGTCTAAATGATTGCACGTACGAGGGGTGTTGGAAATCTGGGTGCATATGCTCCAAAATGTCGCACAGGGTCAAAGTCGGGATGTAAAAATGTCCTGCAGAGCCCTGCACAGCACCCTGCACAGCACCCTGCACAGCACCTTTGCCAGACTTCACCACCGCAGTCTGGACAACACCCTGCACAGCACCCTGCACAGCACCTTTGCCAGACTTCGCCACCGCAGTCTGGACAGCACCCTGCACAGCACCCTGCACAGCACCTTTGCCAGACTTTGCTACCGCAGTCTGGACAGCACCCTGCACAGCACCCTGCACAGCACCTTTGCCTTTGCCAGACTTCACCACCGCAGTCTCGACAGCACCCTGCACAGCACCCTGCACAGCACCCTGCACAGCACCCTGCACAGCACCCTGCACAGCACCTTGCACAGCACCCTGCACAGCACCCTGCACAGCACCATGCACAGCACCTTTGCCAGACTTCGCCACCGCAGCGCCACCGCAGTCTGGACAGCAACCCGCACAGCACCCTGCACAGCACCTTTGCCAGACTTCGCCACCGCAATCTGGACAGCAACCTGCACAGCACCCTGCACAGCACCTTTGCCAGACTTCGCCACTGCAGTCTGGACAGCAGCCTGCACAGCACCCTGCACAGCACCTTTGCCAGACTTCGCCACCGCAGTCTGGACAGCACCCTGCAGAGCACCCTGCACAGCACCTTTGCCAGACTTCGCCACCGCAGTCTGGACAACACCCGGCACAGCACCCTGCACAGCACCCTGCACAGCACCTTTGCCAGACTTCGCCACCGCAATCTGGACAGCACCCTGCACAGCACCCTGCACAGCACCTTTGCCAGACTTCACCACCGCAGTCTGGACAATACCCTGCACAGCACCTTTGCCAGACTTTGCTACCGCAATCTGGACAGCACCCTGCACAGCACCCTGCACAGCACCCTGCACAGCACCCCGCACAGCACCTTCGCCAGACTTCGCCACCGCAGTCTGGACAGCACCCTGCACAGCACCCTGCACAGCACCTTGGCCAAAAGTTCGCCACCGAAGACCCCACCTTTGAGAAGTAAGAACCCCTATAGCTTGCCAGCTATCTGGGGAATTATATATATATATTGTAATAGATGTAAATCATTAAATATCTATTTAAAAAAAATGAGGGGGAAGCCTGAACCCAATTGGACAAAGGTCGGTTTGGGACACCCCCTGCTTGATCTCAGCTGAGAGAAAAGTCATGCGATGGATGACGTCCATTTGCAATTCAGGCATCCAAAGATCGGGCGCAGGCACATTCACATGGAGGACCTGGCAGACTTGGCCACAGCTCTGGCATGCTCTGGCGAATGGATGTGAACAGTGAACAGCACTGACTTGGCTTCCCCGAGACACCCTTGAGCTCCATAGCTCCATAGCTTGATAGCTTCTGTTTCTGCTCCAAAGCGATGGTCCAGCCTGCTGCAACTTCTGTTTGTCAGGACATCTTTGGGCACAGTCCATTGGCCCTCGCGACAGAGTGCGGTCACGTCAAGGTGGTGGAGGCCACCGTTGCAATTTCCATCACCAGCGTGTCCCGTTTCATCCGATGGTCATCCGATGGTCATCCGATGGTCATCCGATGGTCATCCGATGGTCATCCGATGGTCATCCGATGGTCATCCGATGGTCATCCAGTAGAGTAGTACTTGTAGCTATGAGATCTATGAGCTTTGTCTGACAAACTTTTTCATTGAACTCAAAAAACGATTACAACTTTTCCAATCAGTTTATTGGGGGAGGGTAAGACGGTTCCGGTTCCTCCGGTTCGGTTTTGCACACGGTTCCATCGGTTCACGGTTCCTACGGTTCATAGGCTATTTGATTTTCTACGGTTCAGTTCCACGGTTCCGGTTCGGTTCCAGAACCTTACTGTTTGTCATCGCGACAAACAGCGCAGTTCCAAATCTGTTGGAAACTTCCAGGCAATGAATGAGACCTTGGCCTCCAAGGGCGAGGATGACGAGCCACCACCAGCTGATGAGGAGGGATTTTCCACTGTTGCGCCACATAGGATCCATAGGATCACAACCATATCATAACCAAATATGACAACCCACTAAATGCCAAATACATGCATGATAACAGGCATGTAATATCATTTCAATTCATTTCATGACTGTTCACATCTGTTGGCAGAATTCTTTGCACGCTGGTCAATGGAAGATTACAGAAGACAGACGTCCAGAACACTTGTAACAGCCGTAGCACCAGAATTCAAAGCTGAACATATTTTGCAAAATCTTGAGATCAGGCACCCATAATTCATCATAATTCATCACAATTCCATGTAGGGAACTTGCAGTGGACTCATGGAGCTTTGTTATATTTATATTTTGTTATGCTGTATCACTATTTATCACTATTTATATCTATTTATCACTATTTATCGCTATTCATCGCTATTTATGGCTATTTATCACTGATATCACTGATATCACTTGCGCCACATCACTGCAGGAACCATCCAGGCCAAGCTCTCCAGTGGCAGGCATCAAGTCATGTCAGTCACTATTGCAGCTGGTACAGACGCTACAGAAGTACCATCTCGACTTTCTGAGTTTTAGAAGACAATTATCATAAGTGATTTTTTGCCAGAACATTTGGGGACTGTTCTCAAGTGAGCTGAAGGTGTCATTCTAGAATGCGCGGGCGCTAGGCAAAGCAATGGAAGAAGATGAGGAGGAAGCGATCGCAGCAATTGAGGAAAAACCAGCGTAACGATCTGAACTACTTGAGCCCCACTTTGATGCAATGACACCCAGTCCATCAAGGAATCAACTGCGAATGTCAACATGGCGATGATGGTGATGACGTGGTAATTTCCCAGTTAGCTCTCGGGATATCGACGAGTCCACATCAAAGCACGCCTCTGAAGTTGCCGAAGTTGCCCTGGAATTGCTAGAATGAAGTGGTGTGTCCACAACACGAATTCCTTGAGAATGGCGCAGTCCGAGTCGCAGAATCGAGGCTGAAGCAGAGGGAACAGTAGCATCAGTAGCAGTATCTTAAGAAGACCAGTCCAGTGTGTTCATGGCTGGCCATGCAAAAAAACTTGACCAGTCGCTGATGTTTCTTGAACAGGACACCGTCAGAATAGCTGATGGTGTCCTGTTGATTTACTGCGGAGCGACCTTGAGGAATTCATTCCTGAGCTGACGCCACTGCCTCACCTGGATGCACTGGGCCAGGGAACCATAGGGAACCATCGTACTGCACTGAACACCCCAGAGGCTTCGTTCCGTTTCGTTCCTTTGCATTTATGCTGCTGCGCTCTTCAAGGGATGAAGTGTAAACATATTCTCAACGTGTGGAGGTAGCTCGCAGCGTTTCATCTCAGTCGGTTTAGTTTAGATTTAGATAGATTTAGATTGTTTTAGAGGTTTTGCTTGGGATGTCCAATGGTTTTGACAAAGCTGGCATAGTTGCAAGCCGAGGAAGCCGGGCAAGCCTGGCAAAGTAATTCTGGCAAACAATCCAAAGACACAACATGCCACAGCCTCCAACGGCCTCCAAAGTCCATACAATGTAGTGCTTTGACGCAATGGCGGACACTGCTCTTCCTCACCGTGGAGAACTCAGACAGCACAGTCAAAGCCAATTGCATGCGGTTTGCTACTAGATATCATAGATATCATCATTGGGGTGTCATGTATCATGCATAAGATCTCATACATCACCAGGGAAGTTGACAGGTGATGGTGAGATTTAGATGCCAACGGCCTGAGCCAGGGAAGCTGATTTGGCGAACTCCTGTGCCGGGCTAACGTGGTGCACTCAACACGATGCGAACCACGAGCTTTCAATGTTTTGAAGCCAGTATTTTATAGTATTTTACATATGTTACCTTCCATGCTTCCCAAGTTCCTGCATATCTCAACATGATTCTCTGCAAATTTCGGCTTATCTCTCTGGCAGCGTTTGTCTTGTGGCCAACGGGGAAAGAGAAAATAATAGGACCTCAGCAACCAGCCAAAGCAATGGGTCAAATGCGGGCATTCCGGATCTGATTGTAGACCACTGACATTGATGACTTAGGCGACATAGCGTCAGAACCAAACATGCGTTGCTCGAAGCATTTGCGCAGACCAGATCGATAGGATTAAGCATCAGACGTCAGACTGCAAACCCTGTGAGTGACTTTGAGCATACTCAATTGTAGACAGGCTGGTATTTGTTCTTTTAGGGCCTGAGCACCAATAGCGGCCGTGTGCTGGCCTATTGGTACCCTGGAAGCAGATGTGGAGCTGACAAGGGGATCAACCAGTGGCATTCGTGGCATTCATCAGTTGCTTCTACAATCTGAAATTGAGCCCTGTGCCCCTGTCACTCCAAACATCTGTGCATTTGTACACCTGGCTGTGCTATCGTGGGGGTTTCCTAAACAGATCTAAGCCTCAAATCAGCCATTTTAGACAATTTCAAGATATTTCAAGATATTTCAATAAGCTGTTCATAGCTGTTCATAGCTGTTCCATTTTATAAACCACCAATTTTGCTCTTTGGGGATGCCATGGGATGCCCCATGGAAACCTCTGGAAACCTCCATGGCCTACTTCGAGGTGATCGGGGCCATGCCGCGTGAGATCATCACATTGCAGGCGCCAACGACAGCAGTTGCGAATCTGAAACAATTCCCATTATTTCGCATTCATACATTACCAATCACTACCATATAAATGTATCTGTAATATTCTGTAATGATTAATTAGTAATTAGTAAGATAATATATATATATATAATACAATAGTAATCTTTAGTATTTCTTTAATACTAACTTAACAATCTTTAATCATCTCTAATCCCTGCGTCATGAGGTGGGGCAATGTGGCAATCAGATCGGTGCGGAGTTCTGGAAGCTTTTGTGCGCAGAGCACGGCATCAGCAACTTGGATCTCAACGCAGTGCGGTTCCAGAGACCATAGGGGGCCTTTGGGATTTCTGGCCTTGGCTTGGCTTCACAATGTTGACATTGGAGATCAACTGGACCCCCAACAAAGGTAATTATGAAATTATTATTTATTATAAATTATATTATAAATTATTGGATATTGGGAGACTGGGAGACTCTTTTTGCATGGCCAAGAGCCGAGTTGACTGGTAGGATCACGAATTTCTCCAGGCCTCAGGTGGGTAGATCCGACTAAGTTCCCCGGCATTGATTTTCACAAGCCAACATTGTCATGATTTCTGCAGGAAAAGAATCAGTCATTCTCTCAGGGAAGATGAGTTCCCCGGAAATCTTCGACCAACGCGTGGTGCACGCCACAAGGTCAACGTGGCATTTTGGAAGACTTTGCGACAGCCGGAGATGACCGGAAGGAGCCGTCCAGTTCTGAATCTGTTATCGTTGAACCGAATGTGTCATGACATGCTTCGGACAAGTAGCGATGGGAGCTGCGACTGTATCATAGAGAGGACTCGGAGGAAGCGACATGCACAACAATGTTGCAAAGATAAACAACAAATAGCATTGAGTCAGATTGAATCAATCCATGTTGAATCCAGTCCAATGGGCAAAATTGGACTACCGCAACGCATTGAAGGACGTGTTCTTCTATCAAGCTGATGATGAGCACTACATCCCGAGAGCCTTGCTTTTGGACATGGAACCTCGAGCAGCTCAGCGCATTATCATCACATTATATACTAGTACTCGTAGTTCTGATATGTTCTAATCATTGCCCTTTCGCCCTTTCCCTTGTTCTCTTCCGGTCTCTTCCCCATCTTCCATGTGTTTTTGGGTGCAGAGTGCAAAGGATTGACAGCAGGAAGGACAGGGAACGTTTCGAGAAGATCCAGGTTTCGAGCAAAGCTGAGGTCATCAACGTCATTCAAACCTCCGAGTATGCAGAGTCTCTCGTATGAATCTTTTGGAATCTTGTGGATATGTTTTTTATGATATGTGTATATATGTTTGTGGCATTTATGGAATGTGAATGAATGTGACGTGTGGCAGAATGTGACTACATGGATGACTCTTTAGAACGACTCTGCACTCCTAAAAGAACAATCCATCTCTGTCAAGGAGGGTCCATGTCTCCTTTCTTTGTGAATCACAGGGAAAGCTGCGCATGCCTTGAATCAATTCCTTTTGGTGCCATTCTTCAAGCATACTGAGGTTATACAATCCTGAAAACGTCTTTATCTCCAAAGATGGTGGTGGTGCTGGGAACAACTGGGCGAAAGGCCATCAATTTCTATAAGTTTCAGAGAATGTCTCAAGGAACCGAAGCACGTTGATTCAATTTTTATATAGGCGTATTCATTTTTTCACAGGGCAACCTGTGCCATGAAGGTCTTCAGACCGGGTCTTCCCACAGTACATGCAGTATGATAAAGTATGATAAAGTAGCATTTATATACATAATATTTCAATATATTTCATATATTATTCATATACTGTGTTTACATATTTACAGTATCAAGGCATCAATATACTCAACCAGTGAAGCCACTGCCACAGCCTGTTGATGCGTCAGGCTACAGCCAGGCCGAGAAGGTTCAGGAGGACCGAGTCGTTGCAGGGTGCTGGCCGCTAGTGGTTGCCGTATGTTGCCGTTGGTTTTCCTCGTCCTCTTGTTTGGCTTCCAAACAGGCGCACAGCTCGATTCGGTTTCAGAACGGTTTCATAAAAAACAATTCCCACTGTACGGTTCCTCGGTTCCTGCAGTTCTTGGTGAATTAAATAGTAGATAGATCGATAGATTGATGGATCGATCGATCGCTTAGATAGATAGGATAAGATAGGATAGATAGGATAGAGAGAACTGTTCCTGGATGAACGATTTTTTTTGACTCCGAATTCTTCGAGTGTTTCTCTGCTGCGGCAGGAAGTATTTGACATGGTGGACCGCGAAGCAGATGGTAGCGACAGTTTGGTTTGGGCCTGAACTCAATAATGTGTTCACGAACACTGCATATTGGACAGTTCCACCAGTTCCAAGAGAAACACAACCTGGATTTTCCATTCATTTCGAACGAAAAAATGTGATTGGTGCATATTGAATCGTGACGACCGGGGTGTCTTCAGAACCACCTTGGGGTCCATGGCATTTATTGGAGCTTGATATCCAAGGAGGGTTTTGTGCTGATCCATTCCATTGCCGGCGGCACTGGGAGCGGCATGGGTTCCTTTCTGCTGGAAGCCATCAACGACAGATACCCAAAGAAGTTGGTTCAGATGCTCGTCAACGGTTTCCAAACAGGCAGTGGGTACTTTACTTTACTTGTTGAAGGCATTGGGAGGAGTGCGGAGGTTGAGTGTGACAGTAGAAATTGTACACTGAAAGTCATTTTCTTTAGTTGACAAAACCTAAGTTGCAATACTTCCATGTCGTTTTGGTGGCGCTTTGAATTTGAATGCTATCCGCATCCAAGGACATATTCGGTGCCTAGACTGCACAGGATGTCTCCAGCAGAATCATCTTTATCAATGTGACCCTGTCTACAGCATCGTGCCGACCATCAAAGACTGGAAAAATTGGAAAGGAACACAGACAGCCACGATGAAACTCTCCATGTTGTGCTACTCGTTGGCGTCCACAAATTTTCGATGACATGAAATTCGAAGAGGAAACCATCATTTCTGAGGTCTTTCCATTGCTTTCCTCGGAAACCAGTGATGTCGTGGTGCAGCCCTACAATTCAGTGCCCTGCTTCGGATGGGATGACCTCCAGAGATGCCTAGGTATACCTGGCTATGAGACACTGGTGAGAATACCTTGAGATGTATCATGGCCAAGGATCAACATTGATTGCATTCAAAAATCACATGGATGATCATTATATTATATACATATCTACATGATTATATATATATATATACACACGTGATTATGGATGATTATGGCTGATTTCCATATTTATTTCCATTATTTTCCTACCCACAAATATCTAAACATTGCAAAAAGATCACCGATGTCAATAGCTTCCAGGGCTGACCCTGCTGAAGGTACTGACGCTGAAGAGGTGCCACAGCTGGACTACCATGGCCTTCTTTAACTGTGCGAAGTCCAAGAAAAGCTATGTTTAGAGTGTTTAGAATGATTGAGACTTGAAACCTTTTTCAAGACTGACAAAGAATACGATGAAGTTCTTCTTACAAGGCCCAATCCATGTTCCAAGACTAATGCCATTCATGACCTTGTTAGAGTGGCTCTTGTTTCAAAAAGGGCTGTGTACTTCGCCAAAATCCAGAAGATCCATGCGGAACAGGTTGGCGCTGAATGCGGATTGCGTGGTGGTCTTGGACAACACCGCGTTGAATCGCATCGCCATGGATCGCTTGAAGTTAAACAATCCCACGTGACTCGTCATTGCCAGAATTGTGCTTCACATGAATGGCATGGATCAGAAGAATATATCGAATCATTATCGAATTAATTATTATCGAATTAACTTGACTTAAGATTAATTAATGAATTAAATCGATGAATTGCTGGGCTTTGTCGAGTCTGTTGGTATGCTGTCCAGGTTTGCCCAGATCAACTCCCTGGTCTCCACGGTGATGGCTGCCAGTACCACCACCTTGAGATATCCCAGTTACATGAACAACGACTTGCTGCTTGGCAGTTCTTGGAAGGGACCATGAAGGGACCATTAAGGGACCATTAAGGGACCATGAAGGTTCTGGATATGCCTAGATCAAGATGTGCTGTACCGGGGAACCATTGAAACGAAGCGGAAGTTTCACTGATGGATGAGTGATTTCTGACTTATGTGTGAAGTACTGTATCTCGTACTCTTGAGACAGAATCACCATGGCCCTTGCAGTATCTTGCAGTTGGACCTCGCCAAACTCTTGGATCTCTTGGCAGTATGCAGTGACGCACTGTATCTGAGGATTGGCATGTTGGCATCACTGATCCCAACGCCCAAGTGCCATTTTCTGATGACGGGCTATACACCCTTGACTATAGACAGACAGACCTCGACTGTGCGAAAGACCACCGCCGCTTGGTTCAGCAATTCAGGTGGCTTCGTCCAAACATCGGGGGTACCCCCAGAATCACCCAGAACGGGGGAAATATGGGGAAATGTTCACAGACCATGGGATATTGGGGTGCCATGTTGTAAACAAAACCACATGTACATAAGATATATGTATGTATGGCCACCCCCCCAAGAACCTACCTCAGATCACAACCAATCATATACATGTATCTGTTTATGCATGTATGTACCAGAGCAATGTGCTCATACTACTGTACTATTGAAGACACGCAGTCATTTAAGAAAAGGACAGATTTAGCAGTCCGGTCCACTTCAGTGAGTGTTTTTTTGACAGTGGAGGATTCGGTCTTAGATTGGCCAGGTCTTAGATGTGATGCGACGGCTGCTTCACACCAAGAACATCATGGTTTCTTGTTCAACACGAAGGGGCGTGGCTTGGCAGCCTTCTTGGCCTTCAGTGATTTGGCATTTTCGTCACCGCATACCGAGACATACCGAGACATACCGGGTATCCACGCCGCGCATCTCCCAAGGTCTACATCTCCATCCTGAACATCATCCAGGGCGACGTGGACCCAACGCAGGTGCACAAGAGTCTTCAGAGGAGACCTGGGGTGTCGATGGGTGTCAACCAAGGGACCCACCAAATTGGCAACTTTGATGGATATTTATGGGTAACCTATGGATAACTTTTAGACACTTTTAGTGTCAACCAAACCATGTCAAACCATAGACATCTCCATTACCGGTCTGGGGCCAGGATTCGCGAGCGGAAACTGGCGAAGTTCATCCGCTGGGGCCCTGCCAGCATCCAGGTGGCACTGTCGAGACAAAGTCCCTACCTGCAGCAGGCGCATAAGGCGCGAGAACTGTGGGTGCTTGAATGGATGACACCCAAGTCATGCTGTCCTCTATTTGAATCAACTTGAACTTAAAGACTCTTAAAGTGATATCATTTATGAGATCTTGTTGTACCTTGATTGAGCTATATATAATATAATATAATATAATATAATTATAATATAATATAATATAATGAAAATAATATAATATAATATAATATAATATATTATGATATGATATGACATGATATAATATGATATAGTATAATATAATACAAATATAATACAAATATAATATAATATAAGATATTATGATATGATATGACATGATATAATATGACATAGTATAATATGATATAAATATAATATAAATATAATATAATATAATATAATATAATATAATACAATATAATAAAATAAAATATAATATTATATAATATTATGTGTATCATTGTGTATCTGAATACAATGTGTGTATATATATATACATATATGTACGTGTATATATATGTACATATGTATATTATATATATATACATATTGTATGATATATTTTGACAATAATTATTCTACAGTAATTATAATTATGTCTATATATATATATATATGTGTGTTTACACTATGTATTTGCTCGTTTACAGATATCAGTGTCTCAACACTGGCTGACCGCTTGAAGACCAGGTGAATGGCTTGATGTTGGCCAACCACACCGCGATTTGTCAACTCTTTGACCGCTGCGTGAAGCAGCAGCCCACTTAAAATGCTCGAGATTTCTTGATATTTGCCATGCAGCAGATGTAAAACGGGCCATGCTATTTGCTTGTGACACTGGTGCCAAGATGTGCCAAGGTACGAAAAGCTGCGATCTAGGAACGCCTTCTTGGAGAACTACAGGCAGATCACCGGCATTCGACAGTGGATTGTTGTCGAACATGATCATGAATAGCACGTTAACCAGACTTGCAGTGATTTGCAGTGATTTATATAGACTATTCGAAAATGAAGTTTGGAGCTTGGAACAATTGGGAAAGCCTCAGAAAGCAAGCAGCGTTGAGGCAAGAGCCACTCTTTGCAGAGAGTTTGGACGAGTTCGATCATGCCAAGGAGGCGTGACATGGAGCGCCGAAAGCCGTGTGCAGATGGTCAGCACGTGCGAACAGGTGGTGGTATCTCTTAGTGACGAGTACAAAGCAGCGGAGGGCGAGGACAGGGGTGGTAGCATTCGAAGATGTCAAAGATGTTGACTTTGGCAGAAAGTCGGACTTCATCTCCCCTATCTTGCTGAGAGAAGTTCAGTTCTCACTCTGAAATTCAAGGCACAACACCAGGTTTGACAGCATCCAGCATCAGCTTCCGGTTGACCGCTGAATCCGTGAGGACTACATCAAGTGGGGCCTCATGGGGGACCAGGACCCGGTGTGGAAATCGGCTCTTGATCCCACGATATCCCACATCTGTCTCAGACTTGGCTCCTGGAAATTCCGGGAACCTCATTCTCGTCGTAATATACCGCACAAGTAGGATGATTGTACCACTGGCTGTTCATGTTTTAGATTGTTTTAGATTATTTAGCCTGTTTTACTGTTACTGTAGTAGTTATGTTGGTTACACATGGTTACACTTGTTTTCTTGGTTGCATTGTTTACCTGACACCGGCTCTTTAGCTTCCAGGACATCAACCTGCCCCCCTCTTATGCTGCTGCTGATCCGAGAATGCCATGAGCAAAAAAGTGCTGTACCGCATTGCAATTGATCGGATGCTATTCTTTTGATAGGTTTTAGAGACTGCATTTATTCTTTCCATTAAGAATGAGACTGCAGATTCAATTTGATTGCCAGTATGTGTGGTCAGAGGCCCCAGATGCTGCAACTCGAAGACGATCTCTACGACTTGGTGAAGCTTCGACCACCTTTCAAGGTACTCGTAGGGAATGGTAGGGCTTGAAGATAGCTCTGGTAGAGGTGCCTCAGTTGAAGGACGATCTTTTTTATTCAGATTTCTTCAGCAGATCAACGTCTCTGCTTGATTGTTATTCGGTTTTCCTATTTTGGCATGAACATGAATTCTTATCTGGGATTGTGTCGTGTTTTGAACTTTCAGCTGGTATTGTCCCAAGGCCGAGTACCACGTTTTCCTGGCAAGTCATGGTCCAACATTAGTATGCGCAGGAGCTTTTCAAGACTGTGCTCTACCGTGGCTTCGTTCTCCTCTCAGATCTCTCAGCCAACAGACAAAGAGTGTACAGCCAATGGTTGGAGCCAGAATGCAAGCTGATGATCCTTTAATTCTTGGCTGGAACAAGACCACGGTCTGCACAAGTGTAGAACTTGGATCACTATTGTCCTGTTTGCAGCCTTGTGGCACACTTCACGGCCAGTGCATGAGGTGCGAAGGCGAAGAGGCTTCGTGTGCAGTTCTCGTGGTCACCAGCGTCGGAAGCACAGGCGGAGCTGTGGATCAGTTCATCGTGTTGATCTTGCCCTGTGATGGCGCGGCCTCAAATCACCACAGGTGGCAGAAAAAAACTCCCCAGCAGTGGCGACTCCATCGACACCTGGGTGTCTTGTCTGACTGCAGAAACAGTTGACACAGTTGACACAGTATTCAACCAGTCAAATATCAACGTTTGCAAGACACAAAACGGGGCATGTTCGACGGCTACCATGATTACCATGGCCAGGTTGATAGAGGACATGTTTGTGGGACTGGGTTCAAATCACAAACGCATACAAAGACGATCTGTGTACGTTTGGCTCACTGCTTTTCAATACCAAGTTCACGAACATGCCAGGATACACCATTCCATATCGCTGGCGAATTGGAGCTCGGGAAATGCATTTGTTGATGTTGCCAGAACCTCGACCAAATGAAAAAGCACAGTCTTCAGTGTCAGGACTTTCCCAAGCGTCATCTCTCAAATTTAGCACTGACCAGTTTTGTGAAGGCCTTTTGGAATTATTGGAATTGCAGCATACTGCAGGTTAGCATATCCAGTGTCCTGAGCCGCTTGCGTGCTGCTGGTGGAAAGGACGGGCTTCATGAATTGGCTCTCATACCAGACGTATCCAGACGTGACACTGTAGGCTCGTGGTGTTAGGACACTGTAGATGAATCAGGACATGGCTGTGCTGAGTACTTCATGCCCCTTTCTGAAATAGACTACCAAGAACTTCGCACTATTCATGAACTTTGAACTGCGAATGCTAAAACACCTGGATTTACCAACAAAATGTCCATGAAAATCATGAACCACTTCCATATGAGTCAATGCAACCAACCATTGTCTCCCAAGCCAGGCACGAATTGAACCCAGCAGCAATGGCCTCCACCCTTGAGGAGGCCGGTTTCTACTACTTTCTACGGTCGCCAAATGTGGCACGTTTTGGTGAGTGGGTGGATGATCCTAAAATCATCCAAAAATATCCAACAAATATGAGAAAACAATACAAAACACTGTTTAAATGATGGTTTAAATCCCTTTCATTTTTTGTTTCATTTCGCTTCGATGTTTCTTGTAGTGATTTCTGCAACACCTCTGGGGCCCAAGCTCCCCATGGAGCCAGAGTCATTTGGGCCCCATGCCATTGGGCACAGTGTGGGAGATGACGATCACTATGAGGCGAGGGGAAAGTGATGGAGTTTGGGTCCAAGATAGTTGGCATTCGCCTGGTTCTGCCTGAGGGTTCGCATGCCCAGGTTCTTGTGAATTAAAACCGCATGCGCGAAACTGATTATACAACATCAGCATCCGATAATTTTGCATTGAACTTGAATTCAATTTAGACATTCTTGTGTAGGTCGGTGCAGGCAAGCTCAGGCAACCATAAGCAGGTCGCAATGTTCTACATCCTTTGACCAGCTGAGTGTTCCGAACGCAGGCTGGACAGAGTTCTAACCGACCTGTGCCTTGGCATCATGGCTTCTTTGGCCCAAGTGATGTCAATTAATCCATTCAACTACTGTATTATTGGGTAGCCTTATAGCCTATTATGTATATCATTTAAATTTAAATTCATTTTATATCCCTATGAAAATGGATGACCATCACCATCAAACACATATCCGAAAACATCATCCCAAGATGAGCCAAGATGAGCCATCGTTGTTCTTGTTCCGAGTCCTCCTTTCAGGCCACTTCCCTGGCGAATCCGGAGGATGTTCCATCAGCTCTTCCTCCGGGCAAGGTGAAATTTCTGGCCTTCTTCCTGGTCTTCTTGCTCTGGGCTGCTTGCCGCCGATGCGCCAAAAAAACATGGCCGCTCATGGGGAACATGATGATTGATAAACCAATAATTGGAATGGGATTTGGATGGATTTTTGGGCACCCTAGTTTTAAACTTTAAACCCATAAGCTGATCTTCTCAAACTGGGAGAATTGTTGAGGTTCAACTCGCTGATCAGCTGAGGTTGGTGGCTGGGGTGCCATTGACGTTCTGGTCACAATGATAGGTTACCTGGCCAAAGCACTGCGAAAATCCATAGCAAACGCATCATTCAGCAAACCACAGGCCAGAACCATACTGTATCTTTGGTCCGGATATCGATATATCTATCCATTGATCCTTGATGAACCTGTTCTGTCTCCAAAGGAGTGTGGTGTGATTGGTTTGTCAATGACCGTGGTAGATCGTTTTAGACTCTCTGGTAGCCCATCATACTTCATGCTCCATCAGAGACTGGTCGCAAGCTTCATCAATCAGTTAAGCTCCAAGTGTCGATGCATTCCTGCAGATGACTCACTGAAGCTGCTTCGAAGTGCGGAAGATGCATCGCAAATTTAAGGTCGAGACAAGAACCACTGGAGCCTGACATTGTATTTGGCCCAGTTCCCAGTGGAACTTCTCATAATTTCTCACAGTTGCACCAACTGCCAACTGCACCGAGACTCCACCTGACACATCCTGTCACCAAGATCACCAAGGCCTTGACATTGGTGGGCTTCCTGGGCTTGCGTTGTTTGGCTCACAGATATCGAGGCAGCGGTGGAAGGCTGTGAGGAGTAGATTTTCTATCACCTTTCTGGTGGTGCGCCTGAGATGGAGCTAATTAGGATTGTAACATATTGTAACCCAATGTAACCCAAAACGGAGGCAGCGATGCTGTTTCTGCTCCGGTCCAAACGAACTTCTCCAAGCCTGGGAGGCTACGCCATGCTGGACGAGTTCTAGAAGCACAACCCCCAGAAGGAAAGCTCTGGAAACCGAAGAAATGGAGGACTCGGAGGCCAAATGTGAAACGCATCGGCTCCAGTCGCTGTCCTCGCTCCTGTCCCCACCCGGATGGGCTGATCCAAGTACCGTGACCAGATGAAGGACAAGTGCAGCGGAAAAAATCGGGGACAGGACAAGGGAGGGGCTTGACAAAATTATATACAATTATGAATAGTTAACGCATGTTAACGCTATTAAGCCAATGATAATGAATCACACCCACCCCTCACATCTTTTAATATTTTTGATAACCTGAATTGGGTTGTATATGATATATGTGAATATTCATCCGCTATTGGGGGTTTATGACATTAGCATTTACCACGTGAGTTATAGATGCCTGCAGATTCACTACCTGATGCAGGCGGCGCGCTCTCTTCCCTCTCTGCCAGCATTGGCCGTGACTCTGCACCAGTCTCAGACTAATCCAAGAATGTTTGCAAGGCCTTGCTCAAAATTCCTGCACTGCAACATTTCCACATTTCATGATGTTGATGTGTTGGATTCTGGTGGATTTTCTATACATTATCCATCATTATCCCATGGGAAATGTCTTGGATCAGCCAGTCATCTTAGATACCCTGCCTGAGGTTGTTGTCCTTGACCTTGTTGGCCTCGCTGGCCATGTGGTGCGTCTTGGATGCAGGCGGGGCACAGCGGCCACCAGAAGGGGGGCAATATCAACTCAATCAGTCCAAAACTTATGATTACTTATGGGCATATTGGGCATACTTAATTATTTATGAGGCTTACGCCTGACAGCCGGGCGCCGGCCAAAGCAGACCCGTCAGCCCGAGCTGGGTTTGAATTCGACCCTGGTGGCGCACAGCTGGGGCGAGGTTGCGCCTACCTCGGCCTAGGTTGGCGCCATCTAGGTGGCTTTACCAAGTTGTTGTTGTTGTTGTTGTGGTTGTTGTTGTTGTGGTTGTTGTTGTTGTTGTCGTTGTTGCTGTTGCTGTTGCTGTTGCTGTTGCTGTTGCTGTTGGTGTTGGTGTTGGTGTTGTTGTTGTTGTTGTTGTTGTTGTTGTTGTTGTGGTTGTTGTTGTTGTTGTTGTTGTTGTTGTGGTTGTTGTTGTTGTTGTTGACGCTACGTTGCAGGCAACGCGGGGGATAGGACAAGACGCGTGTGGAAGACGGGGGCCGGGACTTCTTATGTCATGCCATGTCAAGCCATCATGAGCCCATCGTGGGCTTATGTTGTGCCAAGTCGGGCCATGTTGAGCCATCTTGGGCCCATGTTGGGCCCATGTTGGGCCCATGTTGGGCCCATGTTGGGCCCATGTTGGGCTAGGTTGGGCCCATCTTGGGCCCAGCTTGGGTCTTTGTTGGGCCCACGTTGGCCCTATGTTGGGCCATCTTGGGCCTATGTTGGCCTATGTTGGCCGAGGTTGCGCCTATGTCGGGCCTATGTTGGCCTCTGTTGGGCCTAGGTTTGCCTATGTTGGCCCTATGTTGGGCCAGCTTGGAGGCTATGTTGGGCATAGCTGGAGGATAGGTGGGCGATCGTGGGCCTATGTTGGTCAGATGTTGGGCCGTGTATGTTGAAAACATCTGCAGTCGTCGTTGTCGTCGTCGTCGTCGGCGTCGTCGGCGTCGGCGTCGGCGTCGTCGTCGACGTCGTCGTCGTCGGCGTCGTCCGCGTCGTCCTCGTCGTCGTCGTCGTCGTCGTTGTTGTTGTTGTTGTTGTCGTCGATGTGGTTGATGTGGTTGATGTTGTTGTCTTTTGCATCAAGTTGGAGCTAAGTTGGGCCATCTTGGAGCTATGTTGAGCCATCTTGGGGTCATGTTGGGCGATCTTGGGGCCATGTTGGGCCTATGTTGGGCCATCTTGGGGCCATGTTGGGCCCATGTTGGGCCATCTTGGGGCCATCTTGGGCCTATGTTGAGCCATGTTGGGCCGATGTTGGGCCATCTTGGGGCCATCTTGGGCCTATGTTGGCCCTATGTTGGCGCAGGCTTGCCCCTATCTTAGCCTTATGTTGACCCATGTAGCCCACATCTTGGCCGATGTTGGCCCTATGTTGGCACCAAGGCCGTCAAGATGTCCAGTTTTCCGTTCCGGACCCCGTCCAAAGACCCAAAACCATGAAAAACCCATGGTTTTTTAACGTCGCCAAGATGAAACCTGGAGACGGCGAAGGCCACAAAACCCCGTAAAAAACGATGTTTTTTGAACACCACACGCAGAATACACTGTAAATTACAACGATAATCGTGGGTCGGGGGTGAACCGGAATCGACACGGGGTAGTAGGAGGTGGGTCGGCGGCAGGGGCGGCCAGCGTATATAACCTTCGGTTACCACCGAAGGCCTCCGGCGAGGACACGGGCGCGGGGCCGGCGCCCGGATTTATGAGGCTTACGCCTGACAGCCGGGCGCCGGCCAAAGCAGACCCGTGGAAGGTATGCGTTGGGTGTAATCCATGTCCATGGTCTGGGTCGCAATCGCGGCAGGGTAGTATGTCGTGGTTGTGGTTGTTGTGTTGGTGGTTGCTGTTGGTGTGGTGTTACTGACGCTTTGGGGGTTGTCTTAACCTCCCCCTGTGTAAGACGGGGGCCGGGACTTCGGGCGTCCCGGCAGCATCCTTCATCCGAAGGGGGCTGACAGCCCGGGTGTACGTGGCGTACACCGAAGTCGGGAGAGCCATCTTGCACATTGAGTTTGCGCAAGCGAGAGAAGCAAGCATCAACGCTGGCAACCTTTGTTGTAACCAGAGGTAGATGTGAACCAATTTCTTCATCAGGGCCCAGCTATTGCTTGTTGAGTCTCAACCCATCGCAGTGGTCAAGCATATAGTCGGTTCGCCGCAGACGGTTAGTTGTTTCTGTCGTTGGCGTTGTTGTGGCTGTTGTTGTTGTTGTCGTTGTTGTTGAGGTTTGTGTTGACGGTGTTGTTGTTGTTGTTGTGGTTGTTGTTGTTCTCGTTGTTGTTGTTGTTGTTGTTGTTGTTGTTGTTGTTGTTGTTGTTGTTGTTGTTGTTGTTGTTGTTGTTGTTGTTGTTGTTGTTGTTGTTGAAGCGGTTGTCGTTGTCGTCCTGGTTTTTCTTGTGGTCGTTGTTGTTGTTGTTGTTGTTGTTGTTGTTGTTGTGGTTGTTGTGGAGGTTGTTGTTGATGTTGTTGATGTTGTTGTTGTTGTTGTTGTTCTTGTTCTTGTTCTTGTTCTTGTCGTTGTTGTTGTTGTTGTTGTTGTTGTTGTCGTCGTCGTCGATGATGATGTTGTTGGTGATGTTGTTGTTGATGTTGTTGTTGATGTTGTTGACGTCGTTGATGTTGTCGATGTGGTTGATGTGGTTGATGTTGTTGTCTTTTGCATCAAGTTGGAGCTAAGTTGGGCCATCTTGGAGCTATGTTGAGCCATCTTGTGGTCATGTTGGGCGATCTTGGGGCCATGTTGGGCCTATGTTGGGCCATCTTGGGGCCATGTTGGGCCCAGGTTGGGCCATCTTGGGGCCATCTTGGGCCTATGTTGGGCCGTCTTGGGCCATCTTGGAGCCATGTTGGGCCGATGTTGGCCCATCTTGGGGCCATCTTGGGCCGATGTTGGCCCTATGTTGGCGCAGGCTTGCCCCTATCTTAGCCTTATGTTGACCCATGTAGCCCACATCTTGGCGGATGTTGGCCCTATGTTGGCACCAAGGCCGTCAAGATGTCCAGTTTTCCGTTCCGGACCCCGTCCTAAGACCCAAAACCATGAAAAACCCATAGTTTTTCAACGTCGCCAAGATGAAACCTGGAGACGGCGAAGGCCACAAAACCCTGTAAAAAACGATGTTTTTTGAACACCACACGCAGAATACACTGTAAATTACACGTATAATCGTGGACCGGGGGTGAACACGAATTGACCGGAGGTGGTCGGCGGCAGGGGCGGCCAGCGTATATAACCTTCGGTTACCACCGAAGGCCTCCGGCGAGGACACGGGCGCGGGGCCGGCGCCCGGATTTATGAGGCTTACGCCTGACAGCCGGGCGCCGGCCAAGCTTGTGGTGGCTGTGGTTGTGGTGGTGGTGGTGGTTGTTGTGGTTGTCGTCGTTGTCGTTGTCGTAGGGCCCATGCTGAGCCATCTTGCGCCCAGCGTAGGCTTATGTCATGCCATGTCAAGCCATCATGAGCCCATCGTGGGCTTAGGTTGTGCCAAGTCGGGCCATGTTGAGCCATCTTGGGCCCATGTTGGGCCCATGTTGGGCTATGTTGGGCCCATCTCGGGCCCAGCTTGGGTCTTTGTTGGGCCCACGTTGGCCCTATGTTGGGCCATCTTGGGCCTATGTTGGCCTATGTTGGCCGAGGTTGCGCCTATGTTGGGCCTATGTTGGCCTCTGTTGGGCCTAGGTTTGCCTATGTTGGCCCTATGTTGGGCCAGCTTGGAGGCTATGTTGGGCATAGCTGGAGGATAGGTGGGCGATCTTGGGCCTATGTTGGTCAGATGTTGGGCCGTTTATGTTGAAAACATCTTCAGAGACAACTTTTTACGATTTTTTCCGCCCCTCAAAGCAAAAACTATGGAAAAAGCCACAGTTTTTAACATCGCCAAGGTGCAATTCTGCGCCGCCGAGGGGCCCGAAACCCTGTAAAAAACGATGTTTTTTGAACACCACACGCAGAATACACTGTAAATTACAACGATAATCGTGGACCGGGGGTGAACACGAATCGACACGGGGTCGACACGAGGTAAGTACGAGGTGGTCGGCGGCAGGGGCGGCCAGCGTATATAACCTTCGGTTACCACCGAAGGCCTCCGGCGAGGACACGGGCGCGGGGCCGGCGCCCGGATTTATGAGGCTTACGCCTGACAGCCGGGCGCCGGCAAAAGCAGACCCGTCAGCCCGAGCCGGTGTTGTGGTTGTTGTTGTTGTTGTTGTTGTTGTTGTTGTTGTTGTTGTTGTTGTTGTTGTTGTTGTTGTTGTTGTTGTTGTTAGTGTTGTTGTTGTTGTTGTGGTGGTGGTGGTGGTGGTTGTTGTTGGTCCTAGCATGGCCCATGTTGCCCCTATCTTGGCCTTATGTGGGCCCATGTGGCCCGATGTTGGCCCTATCTTGGCCTTATGTGGGCCCACCTTGGCCGATGTTGGCCCTTTGATGGCGCAGGTTTGCCCCTATCATGGCCCATGTTGGCCCCAGCCTGG